TATTACCGAAGCTCGCGGTCTGCTGAACTCAAGGCATTAAACACCCTGTCACATGAATTACGAAACGTCATCATCATAAGCAGCAGCAGACGCGACGATCTATCCAGGGTTGCATGGAGACTTTCCCAAGCCGTCACATTATCGCGATGCAACTACCTCACTCGTACGCACGAGTTCATAATGATTTAATGGCTCCATTAAGAGGTTGACGATTGCACCGGTGAAAATTATCACGCGATATTTAATTGTCACACGTGTTCAGCCACCGGACGTAAGGGTTCGGTGTATCAGGACGATGCGATATCCTTGCAGACGCTGCTGGGTTTGTTTTTTTGTTGACAGAAAATACAACCGAAGGACAACAATGATGAATCCAAGAATTGACGATACACGCGTTGCTTGATAGAACGTGCCTTACATAACAGGCTCACACAAATGGACATTGCTATTGATTCCACGCAGCCGTGCCTAGACGCAATTGAAATCTGACAGTTATATAGATGTGTGTGGGGGGGGGGGGGCGCAGTGGTTACTACTGCCCGGCGCTATGTACTCGGCGACCCGAGTTCGATTCCCATTCACGGCCATCATCGGTAGCGAATATCTGAACCGGTGATGGGGTTATGGGTCTCCCGTAGGTTGACTCAGCCATAATCAGGGAACCCGGCGTGATGTGTAAACAACAAACACATGAATTTTGATTTAAAGCTTTTGTGACAGCAGGGATTCATATTCTTGGTTCTTTCTGTAAAGTCACGTAGAAGGGAAACAATAAAATAATAAAAACATAAAACAATAAAATTCTCACGACGTTTCGACTGCAACACAAGCAATCATCATCAGGTGTGAAAACCACATCAAGAAAATTTAAAAAAGTGGCGTTTTTTAACGTTAGCACCACGGACAGCGATTTGGCAGTTATTCAGATGGACGAGTCCATCTATGTTCGGAAAAGAGGAGGGGGGAGACGAAAATAATGGATGCGGGGGAGACGAAAATAATGGATGCGGTCTGAAAGCCACCGTAAGCGTGAACAATCAAGACCCGAAATGGTTTATCAAATCCTTCCAATGATTGCTAAGCCAGAATCCATCTTCTCGGTTTAAATTGTTTCTGTTTGTATATGTGGATAGCCTCATGAACGAATCTCTCATGGTAGCCAGATGGCTTGCAGATAACCTCTGTCTTGGAGAAGTCAATGTCATGTGAGCCTACTGAATTATAACAGTGATCTGCCACGGCCGAGGTGTTGGTCCTACATTGCGGGGACCACAAAAAAATATCTCCAAAATCTTTAATAAACACAAGATCCAGGTCCGATTCAACACATTACATAAAATCCGTGATCTGGTTCCGTCTGTAAAAGATGTGATTCCGGACATACAATACCCTGGCGACTACAAACTAAGTTGCTTCTGTGGTAGTAGTTACATTGGAGAAACCAAACGACATGTCTCGGACCGCATCCGTGAACACAAAGCAGACCTAAAACACGGTAGGACCAACACCTCGGCCGTGGCAGATCATTGTTATAATTCAGTAGGCTCATATGACATTGACTTCTCCAAGCCAGAGGTTCTCTGCAAGCCATCTGGCTACCATGAGAAATTCGTTCATGAGGCTATCCACATATACAAACACAGAGACAATTTCAACTGAGAAGATGGATTCTGGCTTAGCAATCATTGGAAGGATTTGATAAACCATTTCGGGTCTTAATTGATTGTTCACCCTTACGGTGGCTTTCAGACCGCATCCATTATTTTCGTCTCCCTCCTCCTCTTTTTCGAACATAGATGGACTCGTCCATCTGAATAACTGCCAAATCGCTCTCCGAGGTGCTAACGTTAAAAAACGCCACTTTTTTCAAATTTTCTTGATGTGGTTTTTACACCTGATGATTGCTTGTGTTGCAGTCGAAACGTCGTGAGAATTGTATTGTTTTATATATATTTTTTTATTTTATTGTTTCCCTTCTACGGGACTTTATCGAAAGAACCCAGAATATAACACATGCTGCTGGGGATACAAAGGCGGTCTGGCGTGGTTTCTGGCCACACACCAGGCCCTTGTGGCAGTGGCCTTCACAGGTGCTACTCGCTAACAGCACTTGCCCCAACAATCAGTTGAAGGCTATACGGGGGATCTTTGTCAGCGTTTTGAGTCTGCGTGAGGATGCAGGAACAATTCTATGAAGCGCCTTTTCATCAGTCCCAGCAGCGCAAGAACGACCATTATGCAAATTTAATAAATGTACAATCTAATTGCGGATACACCTGCACCAACATAATAAAAAAAATATTCCAATTCTACGTGTGTATATATATCTACACAATATAGCATATCCAGACGTGTATATATTGCGGTTGTTGAGCACAAACAAGAAGGTCCAAAAGGCCAAGCGGCCAGCAACAATCAGAAACTCGCCTGATGACGTTGGTTGTTGTTGTTATTGTAATCTCCGGCGAAACGTCACAGAACTCACATTGTAAACGCCGTGGGTTGACTCTCCAACACACAACCGGTGTAATGTACTAATAACGAATTGACACGTTTTGTTTACGTGACAAACATAACAAATTGGCTGTGTCGGGTGGTGGAGGTGTTAACGGCACGTTTATTATAATGCGCGATGTCACCCAGCCCCCCCCCCCCCCAAAAAAAAAACCTCCTTTATGATGGACTATTAACGCGGCGACTGGACATCGATCATCGATCTCCCGGTCTCCAGAGCAACAACAACAACAAACAACAAAGAAATTGCACAGTCTAAGAATTTGACCAGCAGGAGGAAGGGGGGGAGAGAATAGTCGATCATGGGAGATGGAATTCAAAGAATCGAGCAGTGCGAGGTGAAGACGCAGAGAGATAAGCGAAGTATCGAACCGGCAGTGTGGTCGTTCAACACAGCAACGGGATTGAAAACCCAAGGAGATATCCGCATTGGCGTTGCGAGCGTTGCACAGGGGAGGGGGACCTTGCCCCCCCCGGTGGCCAAAGCTACGAGTCGGGGCCCCCTTGAAAAGCACCATGAAATTTGCTTTGAACAAGTGTGTAAAAGAACAAAAAACTTAAATTTAGATTTAAAGCTTTCGTGACTGCAGTAATTCATATTCTTAGCTCTTTCGGTAAAGTCACGTTGAAGGGAAACAATAAAATAATAAATATATATTATAAATAATTATATACTTTTTACTTTATTGTTTCCCTTCAACGTGACTTTGCCGAAAGAGCTAAGAATAACAAAACACTTATTTAAAACGCGGTTTTATTTTTTAATGAAAATGCCTCGGTGCGATCGTGCGAGAGACAAATCAAATGTTGGGGCCCCACCTGACCGATTGCCACAGCCCTTGAGCTGTCCTTACTTCGCCTCTGACAACAATGACAAGTCAACAATTAACTGTAAAAAGTTAACAGTGTTGTCACAGAGTATTGTGATCGCGTATTATTACAATGATAAAGCTTCTGAGAAAGGCAACCAGAGAGAGGACTCAAAAATAAACTTAAAGAGTTGGATTCTCGACCACGGCCAACATTCGTGGGGAATATCTGAACCGCTCCTGGGCCTCCCCTAGGTCTACTCAGCCTTACATTAACACCTGGTGTGGCGTGTAGGCACCGCCACTGGGGAGACAAAGGAAGCCGGGCGTGGTGCTGGCCATACCCCCCACCTCCTCCTCCGTGTGCCCTGCCTGCCTTAATAGGTGCTCGCGAACAGCACTATGTGCAGGTGCGTCACACGTGCCCGGTGATACATTCTGATTCAAATTCAGAAGCCCCTTGTGCGTGTGTATTTACGTGTCCGTCGCACGTGACATACACAGCGATCGTTTTTTAAACAATAATCGGGTGAATCCCACGTGTTACGACTGCATAAAATAATCATAAACTCATGATTGTCGTTATAAATCGTTAGATTTTCAACATCCAGCTTCATCGATGCAACCGCATCAGAAAAAAGATGCACAATCCGAAAACACGGAGGCGCGCATATTTCATTGAGATGGAGAGCTGACCCTAGGGCGGACGGCAAATCTTGAGGCGACTGCCCCGTGCTTTGGGGAGGGGTGGGGGAGTGTATGGCCACACACCCCGGGGCCTCGCACCCCACCGCTATTGACAGTCCTGTTGAGATGCGTTCACACCAAGTCGTGCTCATTTGACAAGTGGGAGGAAAGCGGAGCGCTCCGATCCCCTCCCTGCGGCGAGCCAGGGTGGCGGCACGTCCTCGACGCCCACGGCGAAGGGATCGTCGCACGCAGCGCGCGTGTGTGATCCACCAACCCTTGCTGTCTCCCAAGGCCACGTGCGTACAGCCACCACCGCCGGGAAACACCGGTTCAGTTTGGTATTATGAAGAAGAAAACAAAAACCTCGCTTTAATAATGAGATTCACAATTAGTCCGCAAAAAGATTGCGGAGCAGAGGGTCAACTTTGAACACACGATGCCGGCATGAGGACAATAAGTGACCCAAATTGTAATTTGAATAATCTTTACATTTACGCTCTAATGGAATGGTAGCGGTTTTTCAAATTGGGTCATCAAATTGCAATACCCTGTGCTCCCCACGGTCGTAATTTGTATTTGATCCCCCACGTCGATATAGGGCGGCGATCGAGCGCTACGCTTCATATGCCAGCGTGAATTGTACGATTGCTCTCAAGGGGTCCGTCTTGACAGATTTCGGTGCACGAGACGTGGGTGGTGTCGTGCCGAGACGGGGAATGCGCCCCCCCTCCACCTCGAATGACGCTGTGACGATTGAGTCATCTGCGGAATCGTTTACCGAATCTTGCAAATGTTTGGGCCGTGACGCTGGGGCACGACGGCCTCCTCTCGCGAACGACGTCACGGGGATCTTTAATATCGCGTCACTGCTACGCCGGTAATTGCATACTGGCGGTGATAATCGTGGTGTGAAGTGAAGGTGGGGGGGGGAACGGGAGGCAGAAACTCCGTTTTAACGCGATTTATCCGAGACACTGGGAGCACGCGCGCGATCAATCAACGAATTTATTCGTAACACGACGAGATGAAGCCTCAGAGAAGGGACTTGGGGGGTGGGGGGTGCGCCGACGCTTGTAAAACCAAAACAGCTCTGTGCACAGGCGTAGACCACGTACGAGGTGACGCGAGCGATATCCGGCAGGTTCCAACATTGCGTGCCGTGGACAATTAAAACATAAAATGATTGAGGTTGTCCGATTATTTACTGTCAGAGCGGGGTTGCCGTCGGTAGAATTTGCACAAACGCGCAGTAAACCGCGTGAGGATGGTCCCGTTAACGACACTCGTGGACACGCGCATTCGCCTTCCTTTTGCCAACCCACTGCTCGATAAGGGCCTCCCCACGCCACGTGGATCATTGGGGTTATTTGACCATACGGCACCATGCTGGCTGGCCAGTGCGGGTTGGGAGCATAGAAGAACTGTGCAACAATGCATTTTTACTGCACTGCTCTCTGCTGCCACCCATGCAGCCCCACAGGAACACACGTCCCGGGTATGGGTATATATATGTCTGCAATAGCTCTTTGTATTATTTGGTTCTTTCGGTAAAGTCACGTAGATAAAAAAAAAATGATAAAAAATTTAAAGAAAAAATATTTTTTCTTTTTATCATTTTCGTTTTTTACTAAAAAAAATAAAAAAATATTTAAAATTTATATTTTGTATCATTTTTGTTTTATCTACGTGACTTTACCGAAAGAACCAAAGAATATGAATTCCTGCAGTCACGAAAGTTTTAAGTCAAAATTTAGCTCTTTGTGGTTTGGGTTGTGCCTCTTAACCCTTTCACGTTCCGAGACATCTGCAAGTTGCAGGGTGGGTCCCGTTTATCTCTGAATCTCGGAACGCGCAAGCGGTTCAGCATTAATATTATTTAGATAGCGCCGTTGTTTTTAAAGACATTGTACTCACCGCAGAGAACTGTATGTAACACGACCACACTCTACGATAGCTGGCACCAAACTGTGCCTTGTGAGAGCCTCGGTACTGATAAAGTTATGTTATTTTAGCTTTTTTCTACCGTTTTTGTTTTAATGATGTACACGTACATCATCGGAATGGAATCGGAAGAAAAACTGATTACGTACACGTACGTCATCGGAACAGTAAAGGCTCAAGATAGTGTTGCCCCAGGGAGAGCTTGTGTATAAACCCTGCCACCGGGAACGCCGGAGCGATTTGCACGTGGGTCTTTTGCTTGGGTCTTTTGTGTGGGTATTTTGCGGAGGTTTGGCACCTCTAGATCCCTCGGCCTCTCAGAGCTGTGAGGGCAACGCTTGAAAAGTGAACGAAACATTTAAGAGGGTCCCTGGTAAAGCACATGAGGTGGAGTTATGGGTGGAGGTAGCATCATTGAGAGGGCTAGCACTAGTGCCTGGTTGGAAATTTTGTTTGGATTAAAAGGAAGGGTTATGGTTAGCAAGACGGCTGTTGCTCGTTGGTTAGGGATAGAGATACTACTCGTGGCCGGTGGGCTAGTCAGGAGCACTGTGAGAGGGTTAGGACTAGTTTATGACTCGGCTAGTTTGTTGTTAATGTTTGATCATCTAATTGGCTAACCTAAAACCACTCTGCGCCTCCTCCACCATCGCAACCTTCACCCTTCGGCCACTCGGTTGCGTCCGGCGCCCCCCAAGCCGAATCGGGGGACCACCCCAACCGCCCGGCTCAGACGAAGATTCGGAGCCTCATCACCGCCACGGCCATGGAGAAGGTGGAGAGGACGCCCAGCAGGTAGGCGATGGCTCGCGTCGGCTGGGGCAGCGGCGCCAGGTACGCGATGGTGTGCACGATGCGAGACGCCAGGAACACGCGGAAGTGGAGCAGCGCGATCCACGGGTCGGGCCCCGACAGCGCGTACAGCAGCCCCACGCCGAGGAAGGGCAGGATGTTCTCGATGTCGTTCTGGTGGCACCTGGTAGACCAGAGACAAAGACCCCCAACCCCGCCGGGTAGCCTTAACAGAATGCGTCTGCGAAAACCATTCCAAACTGGCTGAGCGACCACTTAAATCTGCCTGCCAGCATTCTACGCCTTCGATGCTCTACGCCGTACCGACAAATGCGGGGTGCTTCGAAACAATGTTCATACTCCTGAGAGTTTGCAACAATACCAGAAGTAATGTGCCTCCTCCGGGCTCTGAAGACCACCTGGAGAAGATTCCGGGTACGTGTCGACATTGATGGCGAACAAGTGAAGATTATTTGGCTTTTTGAAGTTATTTACATACATTTGTTATCATGTTATAGTGTATTATCCGTTCTTTTTCCATTAAAAAGGATACTCCCATATAAGTGTTAAAAGAAATGTTAAGCACCCTGTATATAAGGCAAAGACAAAGATCCTCCGTATAGTCCTAACAGACTGTTGGGGGTGAATGCCGTTAGCGATGGCAACTATGAAGGCCCCCACGGCGCCCGAGGGGGTGATGTCGCCAGCACCACGCCCAGCCGCCTTTGTCTCTTCGGTGGAGATATTTACACACCATTCGAGCCGAGCTAGGGGAGGCCCACGACCGATTCGGTTTTAGCGGCTCACCCCACGCCTGCGTAAAGACGTCTCTCTTTTGCATGACATTTGAAGAGCGACTGACAAGATATTTTAATGGCGTAGGTTCGGCGATCCATCCTGCAGCATCAGAGGTTGATCGATGTGTGGCGTTGGTACCTCCTTTGTAAGCGCATCATGGGCAGTGCTCGGTTGGGTGATGAACAGATTGCAACATCACCTCATTTGCACCTGCCGTGTGTCGTTCGAACGGGGTTAACCATAGCCTATTGCTTTCTTCAATACAAGCTGAAGCAGGCTCATTCCTGTCAGATCTCTAATGGGCTCTGTTAAGGGGTAATGGGAGATCTATGGAGGGTGCAGATGTGTGTGTGTGTGTGGTGCGTGGGGAGCCGTATTGCAGCGGTTAGCGTGCTGCGCTACGAACCCGGTGACCCGAGTTTGATTCTCGCTCTTGGGCTTCACCGGTTACGACTGAGAACGGTGGAGAATATTTGAACCGGTCCCGAGCCTCCCCTAGGTCGACTCAGCCTCAAATGAGTACCTGGTGCAGTGTATAAACATTGGCACAGGGGAAACAAAGGCGGCCGGGCGCGGTTTCTGGCCACCCACCCCCTCGTGTGCCATGCCGGCCTTCATAGTTGCTCGCCGACAGCACTTGCCCCAACAGTCTGTTAAGCCTACAAGGGGGATCTCTGTCTTTGTATGCATTTCATCTCAAGTAAGTCAACCCATGGCACCTGGGTTTGTCCCGTCACCTCCTGCCAGCGAGCCTTCGACACTTCACGTGATAGCCTCAAAGTGCACCTGGCCTGGCACAGGCGCCTTGGGTGACGTCGTCACCACTTAGTGGCGAATGGCGGGTGTTTGTTGTTGTGGTTGTTGTGTTGTTGCTTAGACAGCTCACCTCCTGACGCGCTCCACGCTCGCGTCGGTACGCAGGCTCTTCTTTGCCTCCTCCTTATTGCCCATGCAGTCTTCGGGGTTGGAAAACGCCTGCGTCGTCACAAGGGGCGGAAGGAGCAAAGCGACAGGCGTCGTTGATGCTCGCTGTTGCTGCGTCGGCCGAGGGGCGGCTGGTCCACGATTATCGGGCGCACATTTAACTTTTTGACGACGTGCGTAACCGCCGGTGTAATCGGGATGTGGCTTTTTTAACGTCGAACCAATGGGCTAATTAACAATTGGGATCACAATTCGGATATTACGCGTACAAGTAAAGTAAGTGTTTTTTTTATTCTTCGAATTGTACCGATGTTGTGCCAACATCTCCACACGCCAGCCATGGTGTTTTTCCCGCTTCACAAACGTGCGGACCTCACCCCGAGGCCAAATTAGGCACGCGAGACGATGCATTGATCAGTCAAATAAGGCCTATTCTGACCATCGCGACGCAGGTATCGAATCGTCCATAAAAGATTCGAGTATGTTGCAGCACAATCCAATAATCTGAGTCACCAACCCACACTGACCAACATGAAGTGTGGTCCAACAACCTTACGCGGTGTGGAAAGGCCCTCATCCAGCAGGCGAGATGTTAACTCCCTCGCCTGGTATGCAGGAGGTCATCATGGGTTCGATCCCGACCCTCATGAATGGCTGTATATTTGGAGTTTGCATGGTCTCCCCGTGGTCGCATGGATTTTTGTCTGGGTCCTCCGGTTTTTCCCTCAACATTTCGCAACATGCGTTAAGAGTATTTGGCTGTGATAAATTTCCACGTGATAAGCCACTTTTCGATTTAAAGCTTTCGTGACTGCAAGGATTCATCTTCTTTGGTTCTTTCGGTAAAGTCACGTAGAATGAGAATAAAATAATAAATTGATAAAATAAAATAACACAATAATATTCTCACGACGTTTCGGCCACAACACAAGCGGCCTTCATCAGGTGAAGGAACGAGACTGTCTGGAGGACAGCGCTGGAGTGAAAAAGCCATGCTCAGATCGCGACCTTTAAGCTGTGTGAGAAGAAACAAAGCGCCTTGACAAATCACTGTTATAATTCAGTGGGCTCACATGACATTGACTTCTCCAAGACGGAGGTTCTTTGCAAACCAACCGGCTATCATGAGAGATTCGTTCATGAGGCCATTCACATATACAAGCACAGAGACAATTTCAACCGAGAAGATGGATTCTGGCTTAGTAACCATTGGAAAGATGTTTTAAACCATTTCCGTTCTTAATTAATTGTATTTTATGATGACCTTCAGACCGCAGCTCTTTCGCTGGCATTGACTCTTAATACCTCTCACACCACGGTTAATGGTAAGGTTTACAACATGGAGTATAACAGCGCCTCGCAGCTGTCTCTCTCCCCCTCCTCTGTTCCGACCATGGATGAACTCGTCCGATTGAACGGGGCCCGTAGCTATCCGTGTTGCTAAAGGTGAGGGTAAGAGTGCACCCATTTTTTCGCCATATAGCATTGTGATATATAACGACTTATTGTTAGTAGCTTAGCTGAATGGAGAATATATAGAGTTTATTGATAACATTGAGGTAATTTATATTTTAGTTTTTTATGGGTTCACTATATAGTATGCATTATATATTGTAGTGTATACCCAGTTACTGTGAATAGCTCAGATGTGTAGGCCTTGACTTCAACATAGCCATTTCTGTGACCAGTCACAAGCTAATAACTCGGTTATTTCAATACTAAATTCGCCTAGTTATTTCAATGCTAAATTCTCCTGTTTGATTTGTACTAGATGCCTCTGTGAATGTGTATGCTCTGACTTTAACATAGCTATTTCTGTGACCAGTTACAAGCTAATCACTCAGCTATTTCAATGCTAAATTCTATGCTAATTCCTTTGTCAAGGGGTGCCTCTGCGGATGTGTAGGCTTTAACTTAGCTATTTCAATGCTAAATTATATGCTAATTCCTTCAAGGGGTGCCTCTGCGGATGTGTATGCTTTAACTTTAACATAGCCATTTCTGTGACCAGTCACAAGCTAATCACTCAGCCATTTCAATGCTAAATTATATGCTAATCCCTTTGTCAAGGTGCTTTGTTTCTTCTCACACAGCTTAAAGGTCGCGATCTGAGCGTGGCTTTTTCACTCCAGCGCTGTCCTCCAGACAGTCTCGTTCCTTCACCTGATGAAGGCCGCTTGTGTTGTGGCCGAAACGTCGTGAGAATATTATTGTGTTATTTTATTTTATCAATTTATTATTTTATTCTCATTCTACGTGACTTTACCGAAAGAACCAAAGAAGATGAATCCTTGCAGTCACGAAAGCTTTAAATCGAAAAATAAACCCCTTTGTCAAGGTGCTTCACTTCTCTAAACCAGCTTAAAAGACGCTACGAATCTTAACTACGTTCATTGAAGCTCTGTCGTCCCGACAGGTTTGTTCCTTTCACCTGAAGAAGGCCACTTGTGTTGTGGCCGAAACGTCATGAGAATTTTATTGTGTTATTTTATTTTATTATTGTATTATTTTATTCTCATTCTACGTGACTTTGCCGAAAGAACCAAAAAAGATAAGCCACTTTGTTGAGCGATCATTTGTGTCCAGGTTGCGTTGCGAAAGAGAGCTCAGTGGACCTCACACCTGGTAAAATACAAATAATAATTTAGTTTTAAATGGTTTAAAAAGCCCATGTTGTGATTTTTTTCTGGCGACCGCTGCAGCCACTAGAAGCGTTACATCCACCACACAGTGGAAGGATAAAAAAAACCAAGAACGGATCCTTGGAATTGAATCGCAAACCCGAATCGTTCGCATCGCTGGCGGTCGTCAATCCCGTGCAGGCCTTAGGTGAGCCGTCTCCTCGGTGAGCTCGACATGACGTGAGTGCAGCACAAGCGGCACCAGTGTGGTGCTCGTCAGCATTGTGGAGACATAGTGGGTAGGGACCTGATTCTGAAGCGCATCACTCACTCATGCGCGTGTGAGGCGCCTCCTACGATCCTTTAATAATAATCGGTGCTCGCTAATAACCTTTGCCCCACAAGTTCATGCAGGGCTGAATGGTAGGTGCTTTTCTTTTTTTTTCACAACTGCGATATATATACACACACACGCCACATTCAGTCTAATTGAAAACACACGCAGAGTGTAAGTGGACTCCACACGCTCCCAAAAATCACACCACCCTCACCCGTTCATTCCAGTCCACAGTCCACCATATCTCAAACGTGTTCTTGCTAAAACGTGTTCGCAGCAGCTGATGCACGTGCAAATGTAAAGGTCGCAGCCCGTGCAATTGCTTGCTCAGGCCTACCGCTGGCAAATGGGGCCCCCCTCTGCAAGTGGAAAGTCCAGAGTATCCACACTTTACCCCGCCGTGTGCGACCTGCCCACTGATTAACTCTGTCGCGCCAATTGATATTGCTGGGTAGACAAGAGGTGGCTGTGTGGGATACTGTGGGTGAGGATTTAGCCAATTTTTCTCTCCAAACTACCAACACGAATCGAATTGGCGACCTCTTGATAGATTTTAAGTCCAGTGTGCTAACTACTAACGCCACTGAACCACACCAGCATGCCTACTAAGCTACTTGTGCGTGCGGAACGTGTGAGAAATGTTCCAACACATGGACCAGGAAAAGGATTCACTGACTGCCTCGTAACAAAGGCTTTCTTTTCGTGAGACTTTGGCGCGGGGAATGTAACGCGTTACTTGTTTATCACCTGACACTGGAGTTATTCAAGACAGAGAACTGAAATTGTTAAAGACAAGAAACACGCAAACCTCGGATCTTTATCGATTGCAGAGTTCCTTGTGTATACATCTACCCATGGGGGCTGGGAAAGATAGGTTCAGGTATCACTCGCCACTGATGTTAGCCGTGGCCAGGAATCAAGCCCAAGCCGCCGGTAGCTGGTATCGTAATGCAGTGCGCCGATCTGCTCCCATAAACACATGAACATATAAGTACACAGACAGAGATCTGATCCCTTCTAGCAGTGGTTCTTAATCTTCACCGCAGCCTTGCATCTCTTTGGTTCTCAGTCGTAAAAAAAAAATGTTAATAAATACATAGGGTTTGATGAAACAAAGTACTGTAGTTGTAGTGACGCGCCCGTACTTAACTTGTGTTTCGATTATCATCGAAACTTTTTTTATCTTCTAAAAAAAAAAATCTGTCATGTCTCGCACCCCCAGAAAGGGCATCTCGCACCTGCTGGGGGTGCATGCAGTCCAGGTTAAGAACCACTCTGCATTATGGCCTTAGCAGACTTTTGGAGCAAGTGCCGTTTTTGCGAGTAGCACCCATGAACGTATGCGCACGTCCACACATTCCTCTGCACACATACGGACAGGAATGCATTGTTGCGTGCACAGGTGAACGTGCAGGCACACACATACATAACACGCGGAAATTAACACAAAAACTGATACTCTCTGCACCTACACGAACGCACATACAAAGACCCCCCGTATAGCATTAACAGATTGTTGGGGCAAGTATATTATTGGTACTTTTGGTAAAGTCACGTAGAAGGGAAACAATAAAACAATACAATATATATATAAAACAATAAAATTCTCACGACGTTTCGACTGCAACACAAACAGTCATCATCAGGTGTGTTTCCCTTCAACGTGACTTTACCGAAAGAACCAAGAATATGAATCACTGCAGTCACGAAAGCTTTAAATCAAAATGTTGGGGCAAGTGTTGTTGGTGAGCACCTATGAAGGCCGGCACGGCACACGAGGGGGTGGGTGGCCAGCACCACGCCCGGCCGCCTTTGTCTCCCCAGTGGCGATGTTTACACACCGCACCAGGTACGCATTCGAGGCTGAGTCGACACACACAGACACACGCACATGCGGCGTCATTTATACCTTGCGGGAGAAGCGATAGAACCCCGTGATCGGTCCCATCAGCATCATCTTCAAGAGGACCACGGTGGCGTGAGTCGCGAAGGACGCGAACACGGGGTCGTCGTAGAAGACCATTGTGGACCTGTCGAGATAGAGAGGGCGAGCGAGCGAGACAACTGAACAAGTGACAATGGGCACTGCGCGCTCAGCTCTACCTGAAAGAATGAGCGTGTGGTCGTGGGTTTAGAGAGATGGGAGGGGTGGGTGGGTGGGATGGGGAGTGGCTGTGACATGTGAGAGGGGCTGGAGAGTGGTGGAGTCATTGCGAAATTTCGCGGTGCAACAGAAAAAAAGTTGCAGGGCGGGATTGGGAGGCGATAGAGAAGCCTGTTTGTGGCTCGCAAGCCAAGGTTAAGCAATCGTAAACCCACAGCAATCCGCCCGTGTCTATGTTTTATTTTCTTTGTGAAAGTGGTTATACGAGCGGGTCCTGGACCTCCCCTAGGTCGACTCAGCCTCAATCGAGTACCTGGTGCGGTGTGTAAACATCGCCACTGGGGAGACAAAGGCGGCCGGGCGTGGTGCTGGCCACCCACCCTCTCGTGTGCCGCTTTCCGGCCTTCATAGGTGCTCGCTAACAGGACTTGCCACTATAGTATGTTAAGGCTACATGGGGGAGCTTTGTCTTTGTGTGAAAGTGCAGAGCGATGGGTGGCACGGTGGTTAGCGCGCTGCTCTACGAACCCAGGCAGGGACGATTAGTTAAACCGGTTCTGGGCCTCCCCTAGGTCGACTCAGCCTCAAATACTTAAGTGCATGGTGTGAAATGTGGACATCGCCACTCGCGAGACAAAGGCGGCCGGGCGTGGTGCTTGTCACCAACCCCCTGCTTAAATAGGCGCTCGCTAACAGCACTTGTCCTGACCGTTTGTCGGAGGCTCCACTCACTCCGTAGTGATCTTTGTCGTGGACGCCAATGGAACTCGTGGCATTAGGCTGTCGCTTTGGTGGCTGCGTCGCAACCTCGCGTATTTGATGTGTACGGCACCGTGTGTCCCTTGTCAAGTTGCCATTTTAGTGCAAGTCACTCTAGATCTGTCTGCACAATGCTTTCGGGAACTAAATTGTACGGTGATCGGTCTTGAAAAAAAAAACGCTGGAGGGAAGGCGATATTTTAACGTTGATTTACATGCGTGCGGTATTTTCCTTTCTTCACGCGACACGATTGTTTTATGTGCTCAGTTACACAGCAGTTGCTTCATTGATGCACTTGATTTGTTTGTTATTGTGACTTTGGTGATCCACGTCACTGTTGCAAATTAGACCAACCTTGGTCCCTTGAGTTCTCACCTCGTAAAATAAAAGAAACTTCCTGTTCATCATCGTCCCTTCCAGCTATGATGGGTCCCACTCAAGCCAACTAGTTTTCTCTGCAATGTTGACCCGTCTCCTATTTTGGGTTTGTTTCCCAATCCACGACTCCCTACCTTCCCCCCCCCTCCCCAACACTGCAATGGCAATTTTGTAGGTTGACTCGGCCTCAAATGACCATGGTGCTGTGGGTGAGCATGTTGGGGGAGACAAAGGCGGCCGGGCGTGATGCAGCTATCCTAAGTGCCACCTTCGCGTGCTGTGCCGGCCTTAATCAGTGCTTGCTAACATCAATTGCACAACACGTAGCAGTACAGGTTCAAGGTAGCAGGTATATGCGTATGTCTCATGCGTGTGTGTGTGATTTGGGATGTTGGGATGTGCTGTGGTTGAGGGCAAAGGGATGGTGTATATATATCGGGAGTTCAACCTCAACTTTACGGTCACAGGATAACAAGGGGGCAAAGTTCCCTGCGTGCGCTTATCAGTCACGAAGTCCGTGACATTTGACGGTGACACGGGAGGCTTAGCAACAATGACGCCAATATTTACACGAGCCCTGGACAACCTCCAAGTTAAAAAAGGCCTCAACCCGTTTTTTTTTGGCTTCTAACATCGGACAGGATTGGGCCGATTCCGTGTAATTTGGTCGTCAGAAAACCCATGGATGTGTAGTGACGTAAATGAAGTCACTGTAATGGTTAGCACCAGCTGCTGTCATAAGAGTGGAATTGTAAGTCCTGAGCCTCTCTCTGGCACCGGAGCAGCTATGGCATGGAAGCAGGCCCTAGAGGGCATGGTTCAGACAACGGTCAAAAGAGAGGGCATGTGAGGACATGACAGTCTGGGTGACCCCGAGAGGGCACGTGACCGGCGCGAGGGCGGTTAAAGGGGGCTCGAGGTACACGTTATGCTCGGACGAGAACCTTCTGGTGAGTTCCAGAAGGGGGCATGGCCTAGGGCAGAGCGAGGCCGCGCTCGGCAGCATAAAGGACAGGTCCCGAGAGCAATCGAGGCTGTTTGTTGGAATGGAACCCGTCGGTGCTACGCTTCTTTGATCCTCGGTCTTTACGCTCGGCATCGTGGGTCAGGCAGTGTGTTACTGACTGACCCGGTTAAGTAGTTACCCCGTTGTGGTCTAGTTAACCAGTGTACGTTTATGTAGTTACCCTGTTGGGGTGTGAGAATAAACGTGTTGCCTCCAAGTTCAAGTATATGCCTCCGTAGAACCCACTACACATGTGTAGTGGGTTCTAATTAGGTGCACACACAACTTCTTGGGAGGCAACACTTATTCATTAATGAACACAACAGTTAACTCTTACATTACGCATAGGGTGGTGACCACCGACTTACTCTAGCTAACACACACTTCTCAGATACTCTAGCGTGACCCAGCCAGGTGGGCTACTGGCAGGTCCGTAGGGTGGTGACCACCGACTTATTCTAGCTAACACACACTTCTCAGATACTCTAGCGTGACCCAGCCAGGTGGGCTACTGGCAGGTCCGCTGACTGGAGGCTTGACTCTACTTGACGTCTTCACGATGCATCTTCATTCTTGATGCGGGCAGCCTCGAACCTCGTGAGGAGGCTGCTTATATGGGCCTCGGCGTGCCCGGGCCCCGCCCCGGCCACGCCTCCCTTCGATAACCCTCTCGAAGCCCCCCGAGGTGTCCCCTAGGCCCCCACTGGGGTCCAGTCACGTGTCCAGCCGGGGTCACAGAGAGTGCCACGACCTCACACCACCCATGTGGCCTCCCGAGTCCAGAACCCGCCCTGACGTCATTCCCACCTCCAGCCGGGATGACGTCATGTGTGTGTAGACCTGCGTGGTAGTGACGCTCCCCCGCATAGTGACGTCACACGTGTGCGTGTGTACACAGTAGTGATGCTACAATCACTACACACGTGTAGTGGCATAGTGCTGGCTGCTGGCAGAAAAGGGGATCTGCGGTGTACGGCAGTTCTGACGCCAGCAGGCCAGGATATACACGAGGGGGGATCTCGGGGAAAGGTCACAGAAGGGGCCCACCAGGAACCCGCTGGTAGGTTCCAGAAAGGGGGCGTGGCCGGGGCGGAGTGAGGCCACGCTGACCGTATAAGAGGGCCCCTGTGGGGGACCTCGGGGATTTTGGGAGTGGGATCCCCCTCGTGCTGTTCAAGATGGTCGCCATCGTCGCGGTCGTCGCCACTCGATATTGCCAGAGTTCTGTCTCGGTTCAGCACCGTCAGTGTTAGACGGTTAGTGTTGTGTATAGGCTAGCAACAGTGATAGTGTGTACCCACGTGGTGTTGTGTATAGGCTAGCAACAGGAATAGTGTGTACCCACGTGGTGTTGTGTATAGGCTAGCAACAGTAAGTGTACCCACGTAGTGCTGTGTATAGGCTAGCAACAGTAAAAGTGTGTACCCACGTAGGGTGTGTATTATACCGATGGTGCTCGTGAAATAAAAGTCCCTCCAAGTCGTATCGTCTCTGAGTTGTCACTACACAAGCATGCATATGGGAGGGCACTACTCAAAACTCCGCACAGATAACAGGTCGGGAACCTACCTGCTGCACTACCTCAGACACCACCTTGTTGAGGTGGGGGCTGTTGACCTTAGGCACAGGACAGTTCCATCTTTGCATGATACATCGACTCCAGTTCGTCAATGGGCTGCTGAAAGATGGAGCGATAAACTCGCCTTGTGTAGCAGGTTCTAAGCGGGATTGAGGAGGCCTTCATTCAGCAGTGGATAGATGGCTGCTGCTGCTGCACGTAATGAACATCCTCGTCGAAATGATCGGGGGACCGCATAAAACGTTGTTCCCTTATAGATCATAATTTTATTCAGTTTTATAAATTCACGCGAGCCTTTGATTCGAGGTAAAAGGGAACAAATTCAACAGATTACCTTATACCCTCATGCAACATTCAAAAGTTTGCCATGCCAAGCTTCTGATCAATTAAAACACGATTGTTTAATGAGATAGCGATGCGACTCGAATATTGCACGCTTTCATGTACCACTTGAAATATGCTAATGGTCCGTCTTCGGCCACACGTGGTGCAGTTGTGTTGGCTCGGCGGTTCACGCACTGTGCTGCGAACGCGGTTATCCGAGCACGAATCCCGGCCACGGCTAAACATCGGTGGCTCCTTTTCCGCACCAAACTCACTCTGCCCGGCGTGGTGAAGTATGTGGTCGAACCACCTTCAATCATCGGCAACGCGCGGGGAGGCCTTCCGCATAGCAGTGGATTGACAAAGGGCTTGCAAGCAACAAGACGCAACAATGTGTGAAACGCACGCAACCATTCGTGCGTATGCAAAAAAATCCAAACGTCGGCGTATGTTGAACTTCTTTTACACCGTTCGTAGCCAACCGTGCTACTCGGAGGTGGGAACGCCCGTGTGCCCTTTTCCACACTGTTCGTGTCTTGTCCGACACTTCTGGTTTTCCAGCGTGGGGTATTAATCTGTTATGATGGGGCGGGTTTTCGTCGTCATTGAAAAAAGCTGATTATCGTGCAATGCAAAGTGTGCCAATCGCGCACAGCGGATGATGAATTCACGCACTCATGGCATGAATAAAGCCACAACTCCGGGAGCAAAGGTTCTCCTGCAGCGGCTAGAATGGCGATTGCGAACTCGTAAAGTACTGCACCACTGATTTAAACAAATCGTCAACAAGAAGGGCGTGGGGGGGGGTCCTGAGTGTGAAGACGCACGAATCCTCAGCCACAAACCTCCTGCTACCTTGTGTACCCTTGGTATGCCGCTTATCCTTTCTGTACGTGCACATCGATACAGCCCTTTTGTCAATCCAATGCTGAAGGCCATTCCGTGAGGGTAATATACTTCACAACGCTGGTCAGTGTGGGTTGGCAAAAAGCTCATAGACGTTGGACCATATCATCATCATGACTATCCATGGGCAGATTGATCAGAGGTGTCCAACGCATATTTTATTTGTTTCCACTTTCCTGTCTTGTACCAATACGGTCAAGTTGTGCTACATATTTCTGGCACCAATCTCTTATGTCATCGTCGTAAATCCATTCTCCGTTAGGTCTTCCTCTCTTTCCGGTTCCTTCCATTTTTCCCGAAAACCCTTTTAAATGTCCCATTTGGGAGCACATACAACAGGCCAATGGATTTTGCCGCACTGCCCTCTGCTGACAGGATAGCCCCACAGCAGCCCACAGCACCTGTTTTAAGCCCGGTGGTCACTCATCTATCAATATCCAGGGTCAACCCTGCAGGAGTCACATCACAGTAGACCATTACAACACATACAAATAATAACATCCCTTCTTTAACACGTGGAATGCAATAATCAATATCGTTGAATACGTAATTACACGCCCCATAGCAATGTACTGTTTTTTGCTTATTTTCCTTGCTTCCCCTTTGGGGGACATCTTCAGGAAACTGAGTGTGCCCTTCTACAACAGCACCTTCGTATATGGGGTGTCTTACCAGAAAATGCATTGGAGAGCTGTACAGCAGCAAGACCGCAAACAACCAGCAGTGACAATTAACAAGTTTACGTTTGTTGTCTTCATTGGTAATCTTTTTGTTTGCACCTGCATTTAAAATGGAAAAAAAACCCAGTGTCACACGCTGAAAACTAAACAAATGTCAAATTAAAAGGTTGATCAGGGCAGAAATTAATAATTGGCGAGGGTGGTATGACTGGGGACAATGATGAGTGCGATTGGAATGCTGGTGAAGTTGGCAGGCGAGGATTGGGTTGGAGTCCAAAGTCAAGGGGTCATGGGTCAAGCCATGGGCAGTTCGTGGGCTGCGGCGTAGTGGCCGGTGACGTGGTGGTAGATCTGCAAAGACACAGAACGGGGCCGTGTCAAGCTCACACCAAAAGAACCGGGTCAAGAGACTCCAGAGACCAGGATGGCCTCCTTTGCAAGAGTGAGCCGCTTTTGACAATTTTTTGTTACAAATGCTGAAGGAAACAATGCACAGCGATGAAGCGAACAGAAATCGGGAACAAAAAGAACCGACTCGTGTGACAAGTCGAATATATCGCAGAAACACAAATAAATGTTAAATCAAAGTTAAATTTTAGTTAAAAAGCAGGTAAATATAAATATTACAAGAAAAAGGATGCATATGCTTGGATTCTGCAATGCATTCCAACATGGATTTGTTCTTGGAATCGCTTGATAAGAAATAATGTAATACGAGATAGTATTGCTACTTTCCCCGCAGTAAGATGACATTGCATGTTATGCGCCACGTGACGCTATCTCATTGTGCGGCTGTGGGGAAGTGGGGGGAGCTTAGTGAACAAAAGAGGTTGAGGTGCAACACTGCAATTGCTTGCTTATGCCCCTGCTGGGGACCTGAGACTGGACATCTGTGAACAAGAGCTTTATAGCTCATCGGATTTCTCCATAAATATTCTGATTCTGATGATTCTGTTTCGGATATCTCTCACCACTGATGTCAGCTGCAGCCGGAACTTAGGTCGCCGGGTTCATAGCGCAGTGTTCTATCCAGTGTGCCACCGCTCCGCACCCTTCGTGAAGAGCACTCGAAAAATATAACTCAAACACAATGATGACCCCATTCATTTAAAATTTGCAGCGGGGGAGCGCGACTGCAGTGCGAGTTTGATGCATGGCCCGAGTAACGTCCCATGACACGACACGACATTAAAGATGTTGCTTGTTGAGAGAGGGCAGCGTTGTAGAACTCCACAGACCCGTGTGGCTGAGTACAAACAGTTCTGGAAAATAAAACCCATGTGTGTCAATGAAGCTGTCTGTAGCCATGGCAGGAAAAGAGCCAGATCATCTTTTACCCATGTGCTGTCAAGCACCGCTGGGGGAAGTGGTGTTATTGTGGGGCGAATGCGTGAAAGTGAAATTTTTAGTGCTGTCCTCAGATTATTTTGGCAGTTGTAGTTTCAGAGGCCAAACATTGGGCTCTCGATGCGAGTGACTCTAAAATGAAGTTGACGGCAGTGGTTAGGAATTGGTTGGTCCCATGCACACTTATCAAATGAAATGAGGCTGTCGAGATCGTAGATGACATTATGTATTTAGGTAGTCACGTGCGAGTTAAGAGAAATCATATTGACGTAGAGGAAAAGAGAGTGGGATTGGAAAGGATGTGTCAGGGAATGATGGCCGATGTCCGGGGCTCATGATGGAGTAGCAGCCAAGATAAGGAACGTGCCTGAGAGGACGTCTACAGCAGAGATAGAGCAATGAAATCAACTCGTATGTATGAACTTCTTTTGCACCGTAGGTAGCCAACCGTGCTAATCAGAGCTCGTGTGCAAGACCTGCATGAATTGTTGCATCGCGAGGTTGTGAGAGATGGAGATGGCTTTGGGAGGCCTTCATCCAACAGTGGATTGATCATGGCCAATGATGATGTGTATAATGCAGGGGGTTATGAGAAGAAAATCAGGAGGCGTATTGTGTTAGTAGTGTGCATTTGGACATACTAAATAGACCACTTTATAAAAGTAAGGATGTCATCTGTAGTATGAAGAGAGGTTTTTGAGGCAGTAGTAATGTCCATGTTACTGCATGGGTTAGAGAGCATCTAGAAATAAACTTGTGTTTATGGAGGATCCTAATTCCCTCGCACCTCCGATGAGCACGGTTGGCTACATACGGTGCAAAAGAAGTTCAACATACACACATTAATTGCACAGTAAGCAACTTTGAAGTTTGTAGTAGAACACAGCTAGATTGAAGGCGGTTGAGTTTGGTGGGGGACACATGCAGGATGGACGAGGGGACAGGTCACTGAGACAGGCAATGGAGTGGCACCCAGAGGGCTAAGCAACCAAGGAGAAGACCTTCAGCCATATGGTGGTGATGATGACACCTTGATGGTCAGGTATCAACCTCATAACTACAGGATCTAGCACAAGGAAAGATGCGACGACGAGGCGTGACGGCATCAGCAGCGCTCTGCCGAGATGACCTCTTCGCCTTAACGCTGCCGCATTAGCGAGTTTTGAAAATCGGCAGTCTTTCTTCGGGTTCGCTGCTCGCAACGAGCGTGCAACACCGGTCACGGCCGCCGGTCTCACACGCTCCGGCATGAACCCTTCGGCACCACAGTCTTAAATGCAGATGGCCTTCCATGTGCCAAGGGTGAGCTCTATCTAGTCCTCACTAATCAGCTTCAGGGCCACAGCTGCCAATAACCCTTTCACCCAGGAAATGTCGACTGTACGGATAAGAATAAATACACGGTGGTGGCATGAAGACAGAATGTTCTTATCTTTGGATGCTTTTGGTGCTTCATGTTGAGATGATGCCACGGCTATCTCTGCGAGCCAGTGTTAATTTAGTGAACGTTTAATTGAATTAATTAATACATTAAATCCACAAACTGAGACTTAACTAAAATTCCACATGTTGTCGTTGGCTATACTGGGACTAACACGCCGATGAAAAGGTTTTCTATTTGGTATTTGAACATCTTAACACCTGTTTTATTGCCAGAAAGGGTAAAACCTACTCTTATTTTTCATACGCTGATTAAACTGACACCAATGGAAACCATTACAGCCACGGCCAACCCCACGGTCAGCGGGGCTGGCCATGTCGCTCTCGTCACATTTGGCACAGGTTATTAAAAATGACAACCACTGCCAGCACTTTGTAAAAAAAGAAAGAAAAAAAATCTGACACCGACCCATCGCATCTCGCACTGGCTCTTCAGTGATCACGCGCCCATCACACTGCACCATGAGGTACTGGTGTACATGGGTTAGGGAACGTGCAGAATACTCATTAACTTTTTTGTTGCATTTAGTTTGTCGTCCTTCCCCCGCACCTCCGATTAGCACGGTTGGCTACCTACGGTGCGAAAGAAGTTCAACATGCACACGTACTTTGCTTAGCCCCAGACAATACACCATACCCTGACCCAGGGATCCTACGTAGCCTTTGTATAATCAAGATTATTTGCAGTGGCTGGTAGAGGAATGCAGGTGGCTTAATTGGCTCTGCGAGCTGTGTCTATAATCTCATTAATTATGCTTTGTGCGACAATGAGATAATGAGGTAGGGAATTGACCGCAAGGTTATGGCACTGTGGTGGCTTTGTGCCATCTTGATGGTTGCTTCACACTGTCAGGGTCTTCGCTTGCATTCCCTGCTTGCAAAATGAAACGGCCAATTCTATTTAACATATCAGACCTGAGATCGATCACAACAGTACATTTGTCATTCATAATTCATAAAATAATTCGAATTCCTATGTAATTATGGTCTTCAGTTTACAATATGTTGCTGTAATTGTAATTATAATTGACCTCAGGTCTGACAAATACATAATGAATGGACACGAAGTCAACTTCGAATATACAATTAATATCCATTACTCCACGTACAACAATTGTACTTTTTGGTTGTCACCGTAGGTAGCTTCGAGACAAGTGTTTCCCAGCAGCGTTTGTTGTTTGAGCTGCAGTTGCTGCAGCAGATAGTGTATGGAGGGCAGTACATTATAATGAGACGCTATTGACTTTATCCAACTGTTATTCACTCAATCACTCTGGCATCTCTGGGTGCCAAGTGAGAAAAGGGGCATTGCCCGAAATGTCACCTATTATGTACAGCTTGGGTTTTTTTGTTTCACTTGACAATGACAAGGATGCTTCAGATGATGCATATATGTTGAACTTCTTTCACACTGCACGTAGCCAACCGTGCTAATCGGAGGTGTGGGGGAAGGACAACAAACTAAACATAAAAAGCAGTTCAAAAGAAATGTTTAAATCGAGATTTAAAAGTGCATAGCTCCCGTGGCTTCTTAATATCGGAAGAAAAATCGTTCCAGACGGTCGCAGAAGCCATTTGAAAGTGCGCGATGCAGTGACCGCCTTCGTTTGATGTCGATGACGTTGGAAAGAGACAGATTTCAGACACACGGGAACAAAAACAGTGACGAGGAATGTGGACTCTGACACTATCGGCATGCCCACCTGTCTCTCGATGTCGCTCAGCAGCGAGCTGGCACCCAGGCGGAACAGCTCCGGACTCAGCCATTCGTTGCCCAGCTCCTCCTTGATCAGCACGAGCCAGGCGAGAGCATCTTTTGCGCTCCGGATGCCACCCGCCGGCTTAAAGCCAACCTGAAAGGGAACGTTTGAATGTAAAGAAACAATCGGACAGCAGTGTAAAGGCCAACAAGATGTGAACTACAAATATTTTTAATGACAATTTCTTTGAGTCTTATTCAATCTGTACACTGTATCATTTCTTTTAATATATATTGCGATGAGATATTTGGCCAATTAAGAGTATTCCTGTGTATTCAACTGAAATGTTTTTTTCCCCTATGCCAATTATATTCCCATTGTGGCAAAGGTGTAATTTATTCAGATGAAGAAATGTTCCTCGGGAACGCTCGCAGTGAGCAGGACACCCCATTGTGTCAGATATCGGCGTTGTAAGATGCCACAGAACAAGTCCCTGCAACAGGCCCCATTATTTGCACAATGGCCACTCTCAGTGGTTTTGTTTCTTTTCAATTTGATATCAGAACACCCACAATTACACGGGGAAAACACTCAAAAGCATCACACACAGCATCTAAAACCACCTTGCTGGACTGCACCCAACAAGAAATCTTCTCATCTAAACATATTCCCAATGAAGGACCTCCGTGAAATATAAATTCAGCCGCAGTGAAGCATTCCAGGGTATATAAAGGACATCATTTTTATTCGATGGCGCAGTGCACTGCATTATTAACCCGGAGAGTCGAGTTCAATTCCCATCCACAGATAACATCCAGGATATAATTTTTAATTTGCCGGCACAGTGCACTGCATTATTAACCCAGAGAGCCGAGTTCAATTCCCATCCACAGGTAACATCCGTGGCGAATTCAGAATTACAAGTCTATTTCCCACGGAGTAGAATCACCGAGCAAAGAAGCTCTTTTTCAAGGGCGACTTGGCCGGCTGACAAGATCAAAGCATGCCACAATTACGGATGTAACAATAGCAATCATGCTGTAAAATTACATTCACACTTAAACTTTCGTGATTTTAATAGTCAGTTTAAATGACAGAGATAGCAGAACGGAGATGCTAAGAGACGAAACTATGTGGTTAAAACATTTTGGGGCAGCTACATTAAATGCTTTTGATCCAAATTGTACGTGACACGTGGGAACTATTAATGGATAATCAGATGGGTGTCGCAGATTTTTAGGATTGTCTAATGGTATTAACAGGTTAGACCAGAGCTCAGCCACCAAAATAACGATGAGAGCCACTCTGTCGAATTCTGTAAACAAAATTCTATATTTCAAGTGCCACAATGCACGTGAATACAAGACGTTGATCCTTGATGAATAACGTCATGAAGCAGTCCATAAAAATCCGCGTGCGGCTCCGGAGCCTCAGGCCGCCGACCGCTGGGTTAGACAAATAAAGAGCAAAGCTACGGACAATAGCCTTGCTGATGAAAATAAAATCCGTGGCGAGGAATATATCTGAACCGCTCCTGGAGCACTCCCCCCCCGCCCCTTTTTCCAAGCCACATGGTCGAGGGCTACATGCGCGTATGGTCTGTGGGAGCGAGGTGCGTCGTGTGCCTTGTTCCCAGTGCGGTGGTGGTAGTCGCGGATGGCTCGCACCATCACCAGCGCCACGGGGAACGTCGCGTTAACCCCCTCCTTCCCCGTGGACGTCTTGATGAAATCGGAACCTTTGGCAAAATGAGGGGGATGGGGGAGGGTTCATGAGCTCTATCTCTTCGTTCCCTCCCGCATGCTCTCTCCAAATAACTTACCCAGCCATTGCCTTGTGTCAGAATTCAGAAGCTCAGCAGGGATGAGCGTGGATAGGTGATTGTATGGGTGACAATATATGAAACAGGTGTTGTAGGCTGCTGCAGGGCTACGTTGTCAGCAGACAGCAGTGCAGAAAAACCCATTGGTGGACTGCACCATGCTCTGACGTCGACACTCCTCGCCTTCGCGAACCTGCAATGACCAGCGTGCGTGACGTGTGGTCAAATAACCCCCACGGCCCGCACGGCACGGGGAGGCTCTCATCCAGCAGAGGATGGAGGTGCGAGGCTTGTACTTGACCACGTACATACCGGCCATCATGGCGACGAGGCTGGCCTTGTAGACGTTTGTGAGACTGCCCAGGTCTCCGACGGCGAGGATGGTCTTCATGTGCGCCTCTCCGCAAGCCTTGCGGCACGCTCGGATCTCCTCATACAGCGCTGCTCGCACACAAACACACATGAACGCACGCACGCATGATCATTTGCGTCTTAACAACGCTGTGCTCTTCTTCGACCGTCCAGCCCCTTTTACAGTGGCTGCTGGGTTCTGCAATTCGAGCAGCAGGCAGCAGTTCTCCACTGTTAGTAATCACCATCATATCCCATCTGTTGCTGATGGTTCCATGTCAAGTCTCTGCGTTCTAGTGCCGCCTCCACTCCATCAGTCCATCCTTTTCTTGGTCCCACCCCGTCTTCGTTTAATTTCACCAGCGTTGCCATTGCCGTTTGGTGGCATTATTCTGACATGTCCATACCATAGCAGTGTGCATTCCCCAATTATTTATATTATTGTTCTTCCCATCTTTAAACCCCTTCTAACTAACCTTGCTACTCCGAGTATTTTTGTTTATGGAGCGTGGGTGGTGCGCATTTACATGCCTACTTTCGGAATTTTACATTTTGCCGACATTGGCCGTCCAGTCAAAACGCCACATCCCATTTTCTTATTGGCCAGCCTGACACGGTAACTACCTTTCCATTGGCCGGTCAGGGCGAGCGCCCGGCTGATGACGATGTCAATCTCCCTGGCTCCATCGGCGACGGCCAATCGGATTTCTTCGAGCCGGGTCTTGAGCAGAGTCTGCCCGGCAGGAAACCCCGTAGCCACTGCAAGAGATTAAAGGACTAAATAGGACTTTCAATAACCTTTGGCAGACAACCGCACGTTAGAACACACATCAGCATTAACCAATTATAGTTTTACCATGTTGGAAATGTTCCCCTCCATTACCCAATTAGTGCTGCTAAGATAAGATGTTCGCAATGACGAAGAAATATCGTTTGCGAGCCGTTTCGCACCGGTAAGAACCGAAATGAACACTTGCGCGCAGAAACACAAGGTCGCACACGCACGCGTGTTCGATTGCGACAGAATGTATACATTCTCACTAAGCATGAACATAACCGCTGGAGGGGAATTCATCACGGTGCGGCAATTCGCTTTGTGCGCAGTGCTTGTTGAGTGTCGTGTAACGTGAAAGCTGTCTGCGGGAATAATAAGGGAAAATGTGCCGAAACCAACAACGCGTTTGAGTCGCATAAAAGTGTGAACGCCGGCAGAAGGCCAATTATCCCCGCGGCAGATTTCTTCCTGGAAGGCGAGAGTGAGACAGCGCGGTGAGAGTGTGGTCAGCGTGGCAAGTGTGGTGAGCGTGGCTGAGTTTGTGACAACGGCGAGCGTGCTGTGAGAGTGTGGCGAACATGGCGAGTGTGGTGAGCGTGGCTGAGTTTGTGACAGAACAGCGAGCGCGTAGTGAGTGTGGTGAGCACAGCGAGAGTGCGTGTGCGTGGTGCGAGCGTGGTGGGTGTGGTTTGTGGCAAACTGGTGAGTGCATGGTGAGCGTGCGATGAGCGCGATGGCTGGCGAGTAATATAAATACCGGATGCCACTGGGATGTCGCACCCGGCGGACTTGAGAGCTTTGACAGCGTCGGTCACGCGAGACGGATAAACACACACGGCCCCCACCGTGATCCCTGCGGGAATACAAAGTGGGCAGATGCAAACCCCACGCACGCACGACATCATCACATGCACACGTACAGCCCTCTTTGTGAATCCACACGCCGTGTGGGTCATGAGGGTTGCTTGACCAAACTCCGCCACGCTGGCCAGTACAGGTTGAAGGTGGGGAGCACAGACGTGGGGAGTACGTTTTTTTGTTTGCATTCTGACCACAAGTATTGTGGTTAATGCAGACGTGATTCCTTGTAAAAGGTTTCAGTTTGGTGTTTTAACACCTCAACACAACCTGTTTGTTGCCAGAAAAAAGGGGAAAACCTATTCTGAAATCCAAGACAAACACGTACAACTTGGGCACATGGAAACTACGGTTTACACAGCTCACCGAGGTCATGTGACCCATACTGCCGCCCACCTTTAAAGACAAGTATTCCCTGACACATTTCTTCAATGGGGTCAATGTCCCAACGTTAATGTGAAAATGTGGGCAGTGGTTATGTCCACTGGCAGCGCTAATTGGTGAAAACTCCACATTAATATTACGGGGACCAGTTTTTCCTTAGGAAGCCACTACTTAAATTATGACACAACGGTACTCATTTTATTGATCTTATTGCGACGTCGGGCTGATTAAAGAATCCAATTCTTACAACAAATGGACCAACACATTTGTGAATAATGACTCCATAGTTCTCACTCAGCTTGCAGTAAATGAAAAAGGTCGCCAAAGATGAAAAAAAATCCCCTTATTTTATCTTATTCACCCCACTATATTCTTAGATGATAATCAGCATCATCATCGTTTAACTCACCATCATGATTTATATACATAACGCTTATTATATGACTCAGATTGCGTCATTATGATGGATATCACTTACATCATTGATGATGATGATAATGACATCATTCAAAAGTGATTAGATTGATTAAACATGTTAGACATAATGATGCATTCATTGATCCATTGGCTAAAATTGATATGCATAGATTCATGCATATGTGAATGGAGTATTTTAGTATGTATGCAAATGGTATGTGGATGTTATAATAAGTTAAGAAAACAAAATGAAAAAATATAAGCTTTTTGATCGAATCAAAACCACAAATTATAAAAATATAATCATGGGGGCAGTGACTCATGAACTGCCCAGTAGTAAACATGTACAAAAAAGCACGCACACGTTTAAGCTAAAACATTCGCCTTGAAATCCAGAGCCACACACACAACCCACCACAGACCCACCTTTATCCTGTATGCCAACGGCCTTAAGGAGGTCCTCGCGGATCGGCCACTTGGCCTTGAAGCACAGCCTGTGCACGTTGGCCGCCGTGTCGTCGCCAGAGAGGGTCGTCAGGTCGATGCAGGTGACGGCCTTCAGCAGCCACGCTGCCTGGGAGGTCACCAAATGCTCGGGTCAGCAGCTTCGCCAACCAACTTCACATGACGAGGGGTTATTCACCGTGAAGGAGGGGGGGGAGGGTTAACTCGAGAATCAAAGTGATTCTCAACCTGGAATTTAGCCAAATTGAGCGCAGAAACTAATTTTATATTCAGTCATTGGTGACCGGGCTGAGACCATCAACTTACTTACACTTCGATTTAAAGCTTTCGTGACTGCAAGGATTCATCTTCTTTGGTTCTTTCGGTAAAGTCACGTAGAATGAGAATAAAATAATAAATTGATCAAATAAAATAACACAATAATATTCTCACGACGTTTCGGCCACAACACAAGCGGCCTTCATCAGGTGAAGGGACGAGACTGTCTGGAGGACAGCGCTGGAGTGAAAAAGCCACGCTCAGATCGCGACCTTTAAGCTGTGTGAGAAGAAACAAAGCGCCTTGACAAAGGAATTAGCATATAATTTAGCATTGAAATGGCTGAGTGATTAGCTTGTGACTGGTCACAGAAATGGCTATGTTAAAGTTAAAGCATACACATCAGCAGAGGCACCCCTTGACAAAGGAATTAGCATAGAATTTAGCATTGAAATAGCTAAGTTAAAGCATACACATCCGCAGAGGCACCCTTGACAAAGGAATTAGCATAGAATTTAGCATTGAAATAGCTAAGTTAAAGCATACACATCTGCAGAGGCACCCCTTGACAAAGGAATTAGCATAGAATTTAGCATTGAAATAGCTGAGTAATTAGCTTGTAAATGGTCACAGAAAGAGCAATGTTAAAGTCAGAGCATACACATTCACAGAGGCACCTAGTACAAATCAAACAGGAGAATTTAGCATTGAAATAACTAGGCAAATTTAGCATTGAAATAACTGAGTGATTAGCTTGTGACTGGTCACAGAAATGGCTATGTTGAAGTCAAGGCCTACACATCTGAGCTATTCACAGTAACTGGGTATACACTACAATATATAATTAATACTATATAGTGAACCAATAAAATTAATAACATTGAGGTAATTTACATTTTAGGTTTTTATTGGTTCACTATATAGTATTCATTATATATTGTAGTGTATACCCAGTTACTGTGAATAGCTCAGATGTGTAGGCCTTGACTTCAACATAGCCATTTCTGTGACCAGTCACAAGCTAATCACTCAGTTATTTCAATGCTAAATTCGCCTAGTTATTTCAATGCTAAATTATCCTGTTTGATTTGTACTAGGTGCCTCTGTGAATGTGTATGCTCTGACTTTAACATAGCTATTTCTGTGACCATTTACAAGCTAATCACTCAGCTATTTCAATGCTAAATTCTATGCTAATTCCTTTGTCAAGGGGTGCCTCTGCAGATGTGTATGCTTTAACTTAGCTATTTCAATGCTAAATTCTATGCTAATTCCTTTGTCAAGGCGCTTTGTTTCTTCTCACACAGCTTAAAGGTCACGATCTGAGCGTGGCTTTTTCACTCCAGCGCTGTCCTCCAGACAGTCTCGTCCCTTCACCTAATGAAAGCCGCTTGTGTTGTGGCCAAAACGTCGTGAGAATATTATTGTGTTATTTTATTTTATCAATTTATTATTTTATTCCGATTCTACGTGACTTTACTTACACTTGAGAACCTGATTTAATCACAGGCAGCTGCCTGGATTCAAACTCAGGCTCTCAGTTGTGCCAGATCGGCACTCCACTGAACTGAGCCACTTAAGCACCTTAAGTAGAACACGTCTTGGCGAAGGTTAGCTAAACCCAAGTTCTCAGTGGCGCTGGCTCAGGGGCACTGATATGGCCATCCTGAACCCCCTTGCACACCTCACCGCTGCACACCTCACCTGCCACTGCTTCTTGACGGTACGTCGGGCTTGTAGCTGCTCGGCGCGCAGCTTCACGGCCGGCAGGTTGACCTGCACGCGGGACACCCAGTCCAGGTCTGCAGGCAGTGAGCACACACAAATTCTTCCCATTACATCAGTTTCGTTCGTTTAGCCAGTGATGTTTGCAAATTATACTTTATGCTCTTTTCATGAATGTGTGTTTCCACGAATTGTATTCCAACTGAGCTGTCGGTGTCATGTGATGAGTTGAAGAATCCATTCAGATCTCGAGTGGAGGCGAACATCACAGAACTACTTCTGAAATCTCTTTATGCTCAGGTTACACTATATTTATCTAACATTGAAATGCAAAAATGTCTCAACGTGCTCAACAGCAAAAGTTTATAGAGATGTGGAGTAAAATAAGCGCAATAAAGCAATGGCCATGCAATGACAATTATCGCTCATGGTACCTTGTCACTGCCTTAAGTGTGGCAGTGCAGTTTGGTGGGGATTGGTGGTGGTGATCGTGTGTAGTGTGGGTTGGTGGTTGTTTGTTGTCCTTCCCGCCGCACCTCCGATTATTACGGTTGGCTACGTGCGGTGTGGGTTTGCTGGGGATTGGTGGTGGTGAAGGGGGTGTTCTGGAATTGGGGCCGTGTTTTTGTTGCGATCATGTTGCTGGACTTTCACTTGTGGACTCTGCCGATGCTTCTCAGTGGCCATCTGTTAACCGTACTGTGCATCGACCGGTTGGAGTTTATCTCTGTGCTTGTACAGTAAAAACCTAGTTTACGTCCGGGATGCGTTCCTGAAAACTGCGACGGATATCGAAACGACGTAAATCAAAGCAATTTTCCCAATCACCAAAATACTGCACGTAAATTATATATTGTCTTCTGCAGAACAGTACATTTCTTTATACGCGACGCAAAGTAGTTTGTGTAAGGGGTAGGTGGAGGCGAAGGCTGAGAGGCGACGGATACGAGAAAGGACGGACGATGCTGTAAGCGATGCAAGTGTAGGTTTAGTGGACGCAAATCAGGTAGCGGTGTTAATAAAGTGACGACGTATTTGCGAAACGACGTAAAGCGGGGGAGACGTAAACCAGGGGTATTACAGTGATGCCATTTACCTCTTGTTCTTATTTCCCACCTCTTTCCCCTTAGCGATGCTACGTTTTCTTCATTTATTTTGTAAGCCACTTTGACATGCCCTGGCATTCAAGTGCTGAATAAATGTTTGTTGATCAGAGGGACCGCCTTTTTCAAAGATGAACAAGCACACCGTAGCTCACCACATTCATCATGAACAATGCATTACAACAGGGTGAATATATAACAGGCTGACGTTTCAAGCAATGGCCCTTCTACAGAACAGAGAGGGATCTACCCACCAAGCCAAAACTAGCGAATGATGCAACATCTCAATGGTTGATTAATTATATACAAATTTCCCATTTGGTACATTGGTTGTTGTGAAATGAGACAGATGCTCGGAAGGTCGTTGAAAGGGGGTTATCACTCAGTGAAGATGTTATCTATGGCCGGGAATCAAACCCAGGTTGCTGGGCTCGTTGCAAAATGCGCTTAGCACTCTGCCACTGCTTCAGATTTTTTTTTAAACGCACGCATGCACAGTTAACAATACAGTTCTTGAAAGAACAACTCCTCTGCACATGTCATGCATGTTATAATTGATTGCCATTGACGAATCACCGAGGTCTCTCTTGAAAGAGATATGTTTAATCTCAACGGACTCTCACCTGGTTCAAAAGTCTCCTACCTCAAGACGCCTATGACCCAGTTGAACACGTAGCAGGCTTTCGCGACTAATATTATCCATAATAGAGGTCTGTTTGCATTAGTTCGGGCAAATATGAATCCGTCGTTAAACCCGCCACAATGCCGCGCATGGCCACTGCGCCCACCTCGCCATCGCTCCCTTCCTTCTGCCAGATATCGTAACCACATGCAACCCAACAGTGGTGGAGCGGTGGCGCAGCAGTTAGCGCATTATGCTACGACAACCGGCGGCCCCAGTTTGATTCCGGGCCACGGCTAATATCGGTGGCCGCATGACAATCTGAACTTTCAGTTTCATTTATTTGGTATAGCCCTGTGAGCCATTCGGCTCTTGAATCGGGTGCAACCGCAACAAAAAACAAAAACATGAACAAGAAAACATATTAAAGTGACTATGCGAAAACAGAACTATCCAGGAAAAACAGCAAATCTTCCAGAAAAAGCACCGTACACCAAAGCTGTGTGCAAAAATCCCAGTGCGATGCAAGTCAAACAACAACAACCACAAGACAACTTAGATTAAAGCCATCAGTCTAACTCCGTACTACAACAAACATGACCAAACCAAAAAACTTTTCGAAATCACCAACATTAAGCCATAAAAGCAATGTAACGGTGATCATAGGAACTGTGACCGAAATTTCACAATAAACGACATAAATAACATGTACCACCAAACCCTGTAGCCATAGCTGGCTGCATGAGTCACTCCACAACAACAGGAGCATCAGTAGGAGTATCAACATTTTTCAATGCACCTTTAAAGATCAGCACACGAAATCAAAACACAAGATCATACTTTGCAGCGGTCATCCGGAGCGAAATTTTTTATTTTAGGCCACTGAATAGCAGTGGCAGCTAGGGGTGTACAACTCCTCTAGATCAGTTTTGAGTGAAGATCTCATAGGTAGTGATTCAAGTTGCAGTTTATTGGCAACAGCATTCCAGAACCTGGGGCATCAATAGCAAAGGCCCTTCCTCCAGTATTTGTACGACAATAAGGAATGTGAAGCTGGTAACTGAGCGAAGACCTTAGGTCACATTTGTTCTTCGAAACAGAGAGGAGATCCAGCAGGTAGACTGCGGATTTTTTTCTAAGTACATGAACTCGTCCCACCCTCCAAATATTATTCACTAACCGGCGCTGACCATCGTGGTAAAACAAGCCCCACGACCGACACGATGTGGGGAGGCCTTTATCCAGCAGTGGATCAAAGGCTATTGCATGATCATTATTATTACGCAGTTGTCAAGCAAAGGCCGAAATTGCCAAAAACGCCAGGCGGCCAGCAACGAAACAGCACCATGAAAGTTGTAAGTCTGGCAAGAATCAGAACGAACAAAAACCGTCTCGGGAGCGAATAACGCTCAGATGTGCAGCAGCAGCAGCTGTTGGTGGAGCGTCAATGCGCGCCGAGACAAAGGCAGACGATTGATTGTACCGATTTATAGCAAGGAGAAAGCGAAGTTCCTACCGAGTTCCAGTCCCACGTTGCGCGTTGCCATTGCCTCGACCGCTCGCGACTCGACACTGCCGCCTTACTCCGGCGCCTCTTCCAGAAGCGGCAGACGTCTACCGTGGGGCCAGTAACATACCAGAAGTCATCTAGCGGTAGAGAACAGGGTCTTCCAGAAGATATCTACCGCTAGAGGTAGTGGTATTCAGAAGACAGCTACCGGTAGAGATAGGGCTCTTCCAGAATACATCTACCGGCAGGGATGGACTTTACCGGAAGATATCTACCGGAACAGGTAGAGAGAGATCTTGATGGAGTAATTGGACGCCACCTCGGCTGGGCTGTTTTCACTCCAACGCTGTCCTCTGGACAGTCCGGTCCCTTCACCTGATGAAGGCCACTTGTGTTGTGGCCGAGACGTTGTGATTTTTTGTTGTTTTATTTTTTACCTACGTGACTTTACCGAATAGAACCAAAGAGTATGGATCCATGCAATCACGAAAGCTTCAAATCTAGAATAGTAATAGGTTTTTACCCTTTGATCTGGCACCAAAACTGACACCTTTATGGTGTAGGTATGAAATAAATCAAATCACGACGTTTCGATCACAAAAATATAATCCGTCCTCAGGCGGAAAAAATATATAATCCAGCAGTGGAACTGCTGAACGAGTGAGAGAGCAGTTCCAAAAAGGTTATATATGTGGCGATGGGCAAGCAAGCGGGGTCTGAGCTGGAAAGGAACTCCATCCACGGACCCAAGCACGTCAGTTGTGTTAATGGGCGAGATTAGAGATTAGGGAGTGAGGGATTAGGGATGGCAGCTATTCCAAAATCAACAGAGATCCCACCAACCGCCTCGCCACAAAACCTTCTGCTGCTAGACTACCCAGATTGTATGGCCTTCCAAAAATCCACAAAGTAGATACCCCTCTCCGTCCTATTGTCTCCACCATTAACTCACCCACCTACAAACTGGCCCGATTTCTGTCTGAGACCCTGCTTCCTTTCACGGGCAAGTCCATCTCAGCTGTACTTAACTCAGCTCACTTGGTTTCACTAATCAAGGATATCTCACTGTCTCCAGATGATTTGCATGTCAGTTTCGATGTAGTCTCTCTGTTCACCAATGTACCTGTGCTTGACACCATTTCAATCATTCAAGACTTGGTCCAACAAGGACTGAATCCAGATGTACCAACTTTGGTAAGGCACTGTCTTACCAACACATACTTCACCTGGAATGCTGCAGTCTACAAACAAAATGAGGGTACCCCAATTGGTTCTCCCTTATCGACAGTGGTAGCGAATGTTTTCATGGAGAAATTTGAGACAGATGCCATCCAGCCATCCACCTTATGTCCTTCCTTGTGGAAGAGATACGTAGATGACACGTTCATCATCTGGCCACATGACCTGCCAGCACTGAACCAATTTAACAACCACATCAATTCCATATACCCGTCTATCAAATTCACCATGGAGTGGAAAGGATGGCAAGCTACCGTTCCTGGATGTTTTGATCGAGAAGAGACCTGATGGCTCGTTGGGACACTCTGTCTACAGGAAAGCCACCCACACGGATGCCTATCTAAAGCCTGACTCCCACCACCATCCAGCCCAGAAGAACTCCCTCATCAAAACACTACACCATAGGGCCCGTTGCATCTCCGACCAGCACCACCTAGCTAGTGAGTTGGAGCACGTACACCAAGCCCTCAGGATGAACGGATACGCGGACCGTACAATCTGCAAATCTGCCTCCCCAACCATGGGGAGAAAACCTAAGGATCCAACCAAAACCATCACTTTACCATACATAGCAGGGGTTACCAAAGATTTCCAAAATCTTAAACAAACACAAGATCCAGGTTCGTTTCAACACAGCACACAATATCCGTGATTTAATCCCATCTGTAAAGGATGTGATTCCTGACATGCAATACCCTGGTGTCTACAAACTGCGTTGTGGTTGTGGCAGCAGTTACATTGGGGAAACGAAATCACATGTCACGGACCGCGTTTGTGAACACAAGGCAGATCTGAAACATGGTAGGACCAATACCTCTGCCGTTGCTGATCATTGTTTTAACACTGTGGGCTCACACGAAATTGATTTTTCCAAGACGGAGGTACTCTGCAAACCTACCGGCTACCTTCAGAGATTTGTTCATGAAGCCATCCAGATATATAAACAGACACAACTTCAACAGAGATGCGTACAAACTGAGCAATCATTGGAAGGACGTTATTGACCATATAGAGTCTTAACTGACTGTGACGTTTCCATCCTACCTGCCTGTCAACTGTTATTTCCGACTCTCTGTGTCTCTCTCTCTCTATGCCTCTTAGATCTATCACATGTCCTTTGGATTGCACTCTCATGCTCACGTCCTTTGGATTGCACTCTCATGCTCACATGACCTTTGGATTGCACTCTCATGCTCACGTGTCCTTTGGATTGCACTCTCATGCTCACATGTCCTTTGGATTGCACTCTCATGCTCACATGACCTTTGGATTGCACTCTCATGCTCACATGTCCTTTGGATTGCACTCCCATGCTCACATGACCTTTGGATTACACTCTCATGTTCACGTCCTTTGGACTGCACTCTCATGCTCACATGTCCTTTGGATTGCACTCTCATGCTCACATCCTTTGAATTTCACTATCATGGTACTAATCTCTCATTAACACTGCTGTTGTGCGCATATGCGGGCATGATGCTCTTATGCGGCGACGGAAGCTCATTCATGCTAATCTCCCTCCCTAATCCCCCTCTCCCTAATCTCCCCCATTAACACAACTGACGTGCTTGCGTACGTGGATGCAGTTCCTTTCCAGCCCATCGCCACATATACAACATTGTTGTAGCTGCTCTCTCGCTGGTTCAGCAGTTCCACTGCTGGATCATATTTTTGCAATCGAAACGTCGTGATTTATTTTATTTTACACCTACGTGACTTTACCGAAAGAACCAAATAGTATTGATCCCTGCAGTCACGAAAGCTTCAAATCAAGATTGAGCAATCTGGAAGAGGTCTACCGGTAAAGGAAGACTTCTACCCGGTGTCTTCCAGAAGATACCTTCCATGCACAAGAAGCGATGGCGATCGCTTCCCTGCTTCCAGAACCGGTAGCCACAGGGAAAAAAAACAGACAGCAGAGAAAGTGACAACCAATCGCGTTGCGGTATGAAGGGGGTGGGAGGGGGGGGGCGTGGATCTGAGTCTACGTCTCTGCGCATGCGCGGCAGCCACGGCAACCACGGCAACGGTGGTGACGTCACGTAAACTGCTTAGCCGGGCGACGCGAGATTTCGTAAAGCGTATAGGCGCAAACCTCGTGTACGGCGCCGTTTGATTGGTCCAAGCTCTTCACGTGACGGTGCCAGTCGGGGATCCCATTGGTTATATTTTTTAAGCGTGATTTGTGTTGACTACAAAGTGTAAAGTATCCAACGTGGGATTTACGCTGAGGTATTTGGTGATGCTTTGAGGTTTTATATTTATGATATTGGGTATGAATACGGATAACGCTGCGGGTGTAATGATGCGGTGTTGTGTGCTTGCGTTAACGTAATTGTAAGCTTTGATAGCTTTATGAGCCTCTAGAGAACAAGATCCTTGAGGTACCGCCGCTCCGCGAGCTCCGAGGCGAGTTCCCCGGCAAGGCGCTTAGGAAAAGCGGGAGGCTTCGGCCTACGAGTGTCGGTATTCTGCGAAACTGTTTAATGAATAGGTGTTTTAGTTTTGCTTCTGCGTAGCGGACTTCAATAAAACTAATGAACATTAATTAACGTGCATTTTTTATATATACTACGTTTAGTTCCAGGTAGTAGTATATAGATATCCAGTACTCTATAGCTTTGATACACTTTATATCGTAATGCCTTCATTCCTCCAAATCCAATTTTTCGGAAAACATTATTTTGCCGCTGTGACTATAACTTTTTCGTAAGCGTGTCACCTTATCCGACTCCACTTCTAATGTTTATTTGGTTAGTTTCCGCATGCAGTCTTAGTGTAACGGTTTCATTTTTGTCATTCACTATCATAATCTTTATTTAGACGACAGGAGGAATCCGATGAGCTATGAAGCTCTTTTTCACAGATGTCCTGGAGGAGCGGGTCAGCAAGTTACAAAAATACTATCTTTTACTGGTCTCTCTATGTATTATGAACAAGGACCATTGTCCGAAACGTCGCCTATTATTACTGTATGTTCTTTTTAAGGCAGTGTTATTGGCGAATGTGTTGAGTTTTTTTGTTATCGTTGCTTGTACACCACTGGCAACGCAGTACTATATCACGAAATATTGTTTTGTAATGTTGAAATATTATGTATATTTAAATATAACATCCTGTCAGAGGAGTTTTGTTTTTTACACTACTTACGCAGGGTTGCCAACAGAGATAAATGTATTCCGCAAAAAAAGCCAAATCATACGACGACCAAAATAATAACCGTCGCAGTAATAGCATTCACTGAATGGTCAATTGCCGTGTCACTTGCGTGTGCAACAATAGGTGATCTTGTCAAATGACCACGAGCCGGCGCTGTCATTAAGCTGAGTGTGCCTCGCCACTGGTATGGGACTTAGGATTGTGCAAGAGAATTAAGGGGACTTAGCCTATATTTAGCCCGTGTCAGCGGAGCGCGTTACTGTTGCATGCACGAACCTGGCTTCACTTAGTTAAGTGTTTAGTTAATGCGGTGTGCGCCAGCTTAGCCTTAGCCACTAATGTTATCTCGCCATATGAGTACACGAATGAATGGATGCGCGCGGGTAGGCGGGTTGTGATCGGAAAGTTCTACAAGCTCGCACTCGTTTTGAGCGCTCGTGGCGCGCTGCTTGGAGGTGGCGTTATTAATGGTGTTATTTGAAGAAAGTCAAGAGAGTGCCACCTGCCCACTGTCGTTGCAGATTTTCGATATCAAGAGGGATGAACTGTGGCCGATCGAGCCGTGCTGCGGAGCACAGGACTCGCGCGAAGAACGATTAGATCGAGCGGTGGGGTCTTAACGTAAGACAACCGTCCGCCCGCGTAGAGCGGCAGGGACAATGCTGCAGGTTACGAACTATAGCCTGGTGCTGACCGTGCAGTTCCTTCTGATCATTTACGACCTGGTGGTGAATTCCTTCTCGGAGTTGCTCTACAAAGAGAAAGTCATTCAGCTCGTCCTCTTCATGTGAGTGCCGCACGGTGCAATAGTTCGGCCGCGTTTTATTGTTTGCTACAATTTCGTTGTTTGATGCCAAATGGTGATGTGCAAAACGATTTAAAAGTGTTTGTTAAACGTTGACTTAAAAGACGACACTGTGTTTAATCGATGCAAATATGATGAAAGTATCTCATGCTGTGAACATAGTATATTTCATCTGTGTTCTCACTAAGTATGAAGGGCTTATGACCAAGTCACCCACAACATAAGCAGATTTGAGTCTGGATTGTGATTGTATGGGAGACCATGCATGAAATAGGTGTCTGCTGCTAGGGAGCTACCTTGTCTGGAGAGGACAGTGTAGCAAAATACATAGCTGTACTGTAGAGTACTTTGTATGTTCCTATATGTTGTCCCCGTCTTCACCATCCACGCTGACCAACATGGTGAAGATTTAAAAAATCCTCCAAAGACCTGCACGGAGTGGGCAGGTCCTTATCCATCGGTGGATTTACAAAATGACTGTACACATATATTGAGTGGTCATAAAGACAAAAAATGTTATGCAATAGGGACCTGGGATAAAAACTTAAACATAATTGTGCAACATTTCAGTGCAAAAAAACAAGCATAAATGAACAAAAAAAGTATACTAAGTTTCCTTTAAACTAATAATTAATGTAATATTAGCTGTTTTAAATGTTTTCTGTTTTGTAATGTATGAAAATTGTGCTGTCAATGTTAATGTAACATCGTTATGTTTGTGTTCTACATTGCAGTATTCAGGATGTTGGAATCCTCTTTAACGTCATCATCATCTTCCTGATGTTCTTCAACACGTTCGTGTTTCAAGCCGGGCTCGTGAGCGTGCTCATACACAAGTTCAAGGCCACCATCCTCGCGTCGGCCCTGTACTTAACCCTCAGCATTGCCTTCCACGTCTGGGTGATGGTGCGTTGAATCTCGTGATTGATTTTACAAGCAACAACAACAAATGCAATGGCTATGCTGTAATTTATAAATGCACTCGTATCACCAGACAAAACATATGATGGTAAATGGAAAGTGCGGAGGGATGCGGTCAGGGCCAGGACCATGGAGAGAGGAGAGAACAACACTGAGTCACAGCGTGGAACAAAGCAACTGGGGCCCAGCACTAACATTTGGACAGCAAGGGCATCATCACATTCCAGGGCATCCTCGGGGTGGCTGGGGACCATTCGGGATTGAGCCCCACAAACACCCCACGTGCTGAGTAGTGACAATGCATCGATAAATGTGTTTTAATTTGCTTAAGAATCAATGTGTTTTTTACTTGTGTGTTTTAAAGGGTTCACATAGCCACTAGCCTTTTACTTGTGTGTTTTAAAGGGTTCACATAGCCACTAGCCACCTCTAAATTGTGAATAACATTGTCAAAAGAAATATTCAACCGAATAACAAAAGTTCATCAAATCACCGAGAGTGAATCGTCAAACCTCCACTGGGCTTTATCAGATTTTTGTAATGGTGTAAATTATATTGTATTGAGATATTAATCCACATGTGGAGTAATATCCACATGTGGAGTAATATCCACGCGAGTAGCCCGTACCACAGTTCTCCGGTTGGGAAAAAAAACATTGCAAATTATTCTTGCCTAGACACTTGATGATGCATGCGGCAGCTGTGGTCATTAGTCTTGTAATGATTCTCCCACCTCACGATTTAACGAATTTACGATTCAGGGGTCACAATTCATGAACCGATTCTCTTTTGCCATTGTGGTGAGTGTAGCACAGGGTTAGGCAACTAATGTAACAAGAGCCATGTTCTTCGAATTCGTTAAAAACAACTATTTTAAGACCCACAATGCATGTGAATACAAGACGGTCTTTAAAGAGCCTCATGCGGAGGATTTATTTGAAACAATTATGTGCATTAAAATGAAGATTTTTGCATTTATATTTGGATGCATGTATCATGGCCGTAAGAATTGATGTTACGAGTCTATAGATCGTTATATGCCTTTAAAGACATGTAGCCATTCTCGTGGTGTGTACTTTCAATTGCTTATTGATGTATTATACAATGGTAAAACAATCTCTCTGATGAGATGCCATGCAATATTTCCCTGTGACTTGTAGAAGAAAATAGTTTATGGGGTAGACCAATGAAAGTGGTTGAGGAAGAAGTATGCGGGGCAAGTGAAGGAGGCTGGGAGTTGTCGTAAAACAAGGAGACAGTTGCAGATACAGACGTGGATAGAAGACAGACAAGGATACAAGAAGCCAAATATACCGATACACATGGAGACACACGCATACAAATTGAAGCACTGCTCTGCTGATAATATAATGGACTGTTGCCTACTTCCGATTTTAGGGGGGAGGACTACCATGCATTTTTATTTAGTGGGCATAAGTTACTTGTTCAGGATTTGGACACGAATGCCATTGGTGCCATCACCTCTCCCATGCCTTTTTGACTCCTAAACCTCATGTTATTGCCCTTTCCACATCACCTGAGAGGATTATACTTAACCCCGGAATACCCTTCCATTTTATTTAGCTTGTAAAAAGTATTTTTTTAAGTTTTAGAATGAAGTCATGGAACCTTAAATAACAAAAATGACTGCATATGCTGTTTCTGTGCAGCATCTTGAGATGCAATTGTATTTGTATGCCATGTGAATCAAACTTGAATGGCATTTTGTTCTCACCTCAAGCATGTGCGTTGGCCTACATCAAGTGTTTTCCAGTGGACTGATGGACTGCTAGCACTCTTCGTCTTTCAAAGACTTGGTGAGTCGAGCTAGATAACTTTCAGTAAGCGCAAAATGAGATTCCGTATAGTTCAAGATGAACACTTTTATATTTTATCCCTTGCCGGTCTGCTGCGGCCTCGTTAATGACCATTAAAACACTGGGTAAAACAACCATCTGTATCCCTTTGCACGTGCAGCAGCGGTATTTTATTACTACTTTTACAAGCGGACAGCACTCAGACTGGGCGATCCCCGGCTCTACGAGGATTCCCTCTGGCTCCGCAAGGCCTTCTCAAGGACCAACTAAAGCCACCCCACCGTCACTGAACACATTCTTCCCACCATGAAAAAGAACAAAAGCTCGCATGGCGTTTTTTCATTAACAGTTGCGAGCCGACAGATTTTGAATAACTTTTCAAAAGGTATGTGGAGACATTTTTATAAAGTGTAATTATATTCTCAAATGTAGGCTTTTTAAAAAATCACGTTGATTTATGTTCCAGGGTTATTGGTCATGGATTTTAAGTGTAATTGACATCTGAACTGTTGGTAATACGATTCTGTATTTAAACACTAATTTTCCATTTCAACCACTAAATGTATTTTCTTTAACATTTTTGGAAGTTACATAGTGTATAGTGTCAATAATTTAATGTTATAAGTGCTAGTTAATTTTTTTACATATTTGCCAAATATCCTTAATTTTTGTATTTTGCATATTGCTGAATAAATGTGATTTGTATTATTCTATTGATCAGATCGTGAAGGTTATTTGATGACTTCATGCTGTCTGCTGTGGTGAGGCCTGCACCCAGTAGTGGATTGATAAAACGGCTGCACATTGTATTCATTTGATGCAAACGGTTTCAGAGATGCCGTAAGTGATTTATTGATGTTGTTGTACATAAATTCCAGATGGCTTACAAAGGCAGACTTGTGCACGGTGTACACCATGATATTGTGAACAGAAAAGTGCCATTTTTTTCTGTCCAGTGACAGTTGCACTTAGCAAAATATGTGCGTGGGCAACATGTTGCTCTCATTTATAAAAGGTCACTGCATATTGACAATACTTATCAATACAGGAAACAAATGTGACCTATTCTTGCTTTACACCACTGGACTTCAAATCGATGTCCAACACTTACATAAGAAATATTGAAATCAAATTAACGTTCTTAAATGCTGCTCTACCAATGCACACCGGTCGGCCTTCCGGACCAATATTTTGCACAGCGAGCGCCTGCGGTTTCTTTATTTTTTCCTTTTTGTAGACTGCTCGAGTATTGCACAGTCTCTCATCGCACTCGTTTACAACCGATAGCAAACAGGCGAATGTTTAGTGCCCCTGATTTTGCAAGATGTTATTTTTTTTTATCTTCTTGCACCCTTGTTCTTTGCTGCCGCCTCCGCCGCTGCTGTTGCTCCAGTAGTGAGCAGCTGTGTACTGAGATGCAGGTTTACACCAGCTTGTGTCGCTCAGGCTTTCATTTCTGGAGTGCCATCGGTGCCACCAATCACCGTCTCACCGTTATCTGCAGTGAGCTCCTCTGTGGGAACATGGGGCGGTAAGAGTGCAGAGGAGCAGAAAACCGGCTTTGCTGGGCGATGGATAACACACACAGTGTAGACGGAAAAGCATATGCAATGTCATCAAGTTGGTGTATAAGTTCTAAAAAATAATTATACAGGCGCTAACATTGCACTTTAATGTTCAAAAGGTGCATATACAGTTACGCCTATAAAAGCATTGGCAAATAAAATGGTTGTGATGTACAATTTTCCTTTAACTAGACCAACAAAAATTAGCTTAGTGTTTTAATATCCCTCCTTTTACAAGTGATTATTAACTGCAGACAGCAGCTGCTATGGGACCATTCTTGTAGGTGAAATGCAGCATGAGATGTTATGAATACACATTATGGTAAATTGTATTGTACTACATGTGTTTCCACCAGAGGCCAATAGGCATCTGGTGAACACAGAGTTGCATCTTTACGAATTGAATTAAACGTCATTGCCCATGGAAGAGGGTTCCAGACGGCTGCAAAAGCACATCTAAAAGGGCGCTATGCAGTGACCGTCTTTGTTCGATGGCTAGCCAAAATCCGCTGCGAGGGTGACCTGAGTTTGCATTATGGTTTATGCTCCTTGACGAAATCAAGTATTGTGGTTCATTTGTGGCAAGCGCTTTGTGTGTAATGAGTGTGAGGTGGAGGTGATCTGGTGGCTCACAGGGCAGGGCGCTGAGCTGGCATTGTTGAGATGCTGGGTTTGAATCTGTGTTTTAGCCACCCGTGATTATAACGTGTCCTCGATCAAGTGCAGTGAGTTGAACCAAATTAACTGTTATTTTACCAGGTAAAGCCCAGAAATATTATATTAGCTCATCAATCTATTACAACTGATATAACATGGGCAAGTGTTCAGTGTCTGCCTGCTGTGCCTCACCATTGATGTAGGAAACATCGGCACATTTTCAACAAACAGTGGATAAAAAGGCAAATTTTCGCAACATGTTTAGTGGTCGTTTCGTAGAGTTCGTGTTGACGTGAGTGTATATAACACCTGTCTGCTCACCGGGCAGCAAACACTTCCACAGGCCGTACGTCTTCCCCACGGCCGTTTGCCACAGTCGCAGCGTCCCGTCCTCCGAGCCGCTGGCATACAGTTCGCCGTCGGGGCTAAACCGCACGCAGTGCACTGGTCCAAAGTGGCCCTTGTACGACTCTGCGCGCACATTCACAAGGCGAGACGGCCACAAAAAGACAAGTTGAGAAACACCGATATAAACAGCAACACAACTGTCAGAATGACCTTATTCTGTGCAGCAGGTGTACTTGCAAAAAAGCTGATTTGCTGCCATTTAAAAGGTATTTACTTTGGTACTTACTATAAAATGTCTGAAATGTCATGGTTTACGACCCTCCCAATGACTTTTTCCCCCCGCAGATTCACTTATACGTGTGTACAAAACACGAATATCCCCCGTATAGCCATTCGGACTGTGAAGGCAAGTGCCGTTAGGGAGCATCTGTTCAGGCCATAATGATGCAGGAGGGGGTGGTTTAACCAGCGGCACACCCGGCTGCATTTATGACCCAAGTGGTTATTTATACACAGCAGCAGGTAATAATTTAAGCCTGCAGGTGAACTAGGGTAGGCCCTGGACTGGTTCAGATATCACTTGGTATTAATTTTAGCCATGGTCGGGAATCAAACTGGGGTTGCTTATGTTCATAGTGAGGTACTTAACCACCAACATCAAGTCACCTACACTACCACAGTGAAGCTCATACAGGAGGTAAACCAGTTATTTTTTTACATCTTGCTCTGTGACTCAAAGTACATTGTCACTTGACAATCTGAACATCCCTTGTAAATAAAACAAATGTGGACAGGCCTTGGCATGGCACCTAGAGTGACTAGAAATTATCATGCTTTGAGGGGTTGTCAGCAAAGTGTTGGGGTCGTGGCTTCCTCCTGTATATGCTCTTTCTCTGCATCTCTTCCCATAACTACAAATGTCATTCCCTGTGCCCCCAACAGCTTTGTACCCTGGGTAGCTGCCCCTGACCGCATACCCCTTAAGACCACGCCTATCCATATTATTAGGCCAATTGCGATGTATACAGGAGGGCTATATGATGCTGAATCAACTCAACTGATGCAACTGAACTGACAATCACCTACCGAGTTCCTCTCCAGTGGTGTAATCAAACTTGTACAACTTGAAATCTTCTCCTCCGGCGATGAAGCACTCCTTTTCCGGATGAAGCGAAGCTGAATTTATTGACGCCGAAGCCTCGAATTGCTTGATCAGTTCCAAGCTGGAAAAATCAAATGACGATATATATTTTTTTACAAACTGCTTGCTGTTGAGCAAAAGTCAAAGCATGAAAGTGTATGCAAACAAGCCAGAAACAACACGCAGACGTTGGCGGGATGTGGAACCCTTACGTGAGCGCATTGTAGAAGGCGATGGTCCGCGAGTACGTTATCACCACAATCTCATCGTTTGGGAGGTACTCCATGCTGCTTGCCGACATGGGCAACGTCACAGACTTCACCTCCGTGCCCGTGGCTCGGTCCCACAGTCTGGAAAGAGGTTCACACGCCGATTACCTTTCAGCCTGTCATTGTAAACAGAAAAATCCACGAGGATACGTTATACACACTCTTTGGTTCAGTCGAGCTAAGTGTGGTTTTAAGTCAGGCTTCAAAGATATGTTTTTAAGTGCTTTTAAACATGAATATGACCCTGCAAAATGGTTCATGCACTGCACTATGAACCCTGCAAACCGTGTTCGATACCCAGACAAGAATGGTAAGTTATACCTCAACTGCTTCTGGGGGAGACTTCACCAACCCACACTGACCAGCATAGAGTAACATGGTATGAAGAGGACTTCATTCAGCAGTGACTGTCCACAGAGCTGTGATTTATTGACTTTAAGCCCATTTTATAAACATTTGTATAATTATTAGTCGAATGTAGTTTTGGGTGAATATGCATCAGTCGTGCGATGTGGATGTTGTATCGATGGTGCGTGCCACTGTAAAGTATCCTGTTTCTTTCTTTTCCAAAAAAAGACATCTACATTATGCATACAACTATTCAAACCCTCCCCTCGGTTTAGTGAACCAAAGACATCATTGCCAGGTGTTATCTTGGAACCTGGAGTTGCATGCAGTGGTGAACTGCACGTCATGTAGGAAATGCATTGGCACTTCACCGGAGGTTTCGTTCTCACCGGATGGTTTTGTCGTCAGCGACAGAGATGATGAGCTTCTCCCCCGTGCACCACGCGGTGCGCCTCACGCCTGACGTGTGACCGCTCAGCAGCTGGGGCTCTGAACCAACACAAGACAAATTCTCGTCACACCTATGGTCAATGATACCTGTAAATTGTGCCACTTTCAATCAAGTGCAATCTCAGTCTCAGTCGAACTTAAGCTCACAATGGTGCTGTAATGGTCATAATAATTGACTACTTATTCAAGCTCGCGTGAAAACATGTTACTATGTACAGCTCTTTTGTCAATCCCCATGCAGCGTGGTGGGTCCTAGATGTTATTTGAAAGTGAAGGGGGCATAGACGTGGGAGCTTAGAAGTACAGAAAATTTATTTTGCTGCACTCCAAAGTAGTTTGGTATATTGACCACTTCTAGTGCATGAGCTGTGTAGTGTCTACACCAGGGATTTTGGAACGTTTTATATTTTTATCTTAAACCCCCAGCTGAAAAATGTGCAGACCATGTCAGGTGGTGAGAAGGCATATTGGTTTAAGAATTAAATGTGTTTAATACATCGTAACCTCATTGCATGTAAAATCAATGCTTTCCAACACAACTGAGTGTGTAATCCCACCTGCGTCTGTTTTCTCCAAATCATAGATCCTCAGCACCTTGTCCTGTCCTCCTGTGAGCAAGTGGACACTGTCCTGCAAAGAAACACCCCATCAGGTTCAGCACCAGTGTGCGTGCCTGCACCTTCAATCAAACCACAGCCTCTGGACTTTACTCCACTATTACTAGTCCTGTCACTCCACTGCTTGATTTTACCATCACATTCGCATTGTTTAAAATTTGCTGCGTTACTTTTTATATGATTTACTAAAGCACATGCTTACGATCTGTTCCTCAATAAAAGTATAATGATGCATTGAATAAAATGCACACGATTAATGCATAGAATTGTGTGCGTAACACATTTTTATATTCCTGCATGCTGTCATTAGTTTGCGTGACCGCTGTAGCAACTACAGGCACTGCAACACACCAAAGTAGAAAACATAAAATTTTGATTTAAAGCTTTCGTGACTGCAGTAATTCATATTCTTAGCTCTTTCCATTCAACGTGACTTTACCGAAAGAGCTAAGAATAGAAAACATTAATTTAATAATTAATCGAACAACAAGCTGTAGAGACGTTAAATATGCTGCAGTGAAAATTACTCCATTACCTCGGTGAAGTCGACAGTTTTAACGATGTGCTTGTGTGTGAAGCTGACAACCTCGTCACCGGATACGGCGTCCCACACTTTACTGTGCACAAGAAAAAAAGGTGGAGAAGTTGAGATTTCACACTGGAGTCTCAATGTGTCTGTTAAAAGTGTTTATCAACGTGGTATTTACCATTTGTATCTGACACCATCCATGCAGTATTAATATGGGCTTTGTACATATCCAGTGGGTAATATGAAACGATTAAATATTTGCTTCTTCAGGCAAATGGTATGTGGCTTTTCATTATTACGTTCAGTTTTCCCACGGGAAGTTATGTATAAAATAGCCTAACTTCTAATACCGTATTCCAATTGTCAAAACTTTTAAAGAAGGTATTTAAATCACATTTTTTTGTAATTTGGCCAAACTATGTGTTCTTAAACATGAACTGCATTCTGGCCTTGTAACTCATCACTGTAAGGAATAATTGATAGAGGCATTAAGATGCATATTGCACTTTAAAATACAATTAGACGGTGCCAACGGAGGTGTTCAAAGCCAAAGAACACGCCACTTTACTTTTCATGACGGCCGAGAGGCAAGGCAAGGCGAGCTCTTTTTGTCACACGTCCTACGAACACTGATTCGCTCAAGGGAGCCAAACGTTTGCCGAGTTCAACAAACTAAATCCATCGGTCGCGTGCTAGCTACTGCAACACATGTCAGCCACTGGGGCGACAACAATGACGTTACAAGACCCTTACGCGGTGAAATCTGCAGCGGCGGTGGCGGCCTTGGTGGCATCGCGGTTGAGCGTGGCACCCCACACCGCTCCTTTGTGGCCCAGGAAGGTGCCGACCCAGTCTCCCGTGTCTCCTTGCCTCAGCATTGGTTTCCCGTCTACGTCCAAAGTCAGTAAAATCACGAAGGTAGTTAATGTTACAGGTTCAGCGACATATTCATCTTCCTGGCTCGGTTCCTTGCTGGAAGAGTCAAGAACACACATTCACGAAAAGCACCAGAGGTTTTGTCTGTACTGCAAAATAGACTTGAAAATACTTGCTTCATTTACAAATAATGATCTGTAATGTGATATTCATAGATCTGAATTCGGCACAGTCGTTATAATGGATTTTAAATGTTGGCGTTATAGTACGTGGCTTAACATAGCATATAAGTGGTGTCACACCAAATAGTCAACAGATCCCTACTTCTACACATTAACATCAGTACTATAAATGAACACTACTCCAGTCGCATCCCATTGTACTCTACAGATTCACACCACGATAAAGATTCACACCACTAGTCTATAATTCACACCACTGTTCCATAGATTCTACACACATCACTAATTTAATACATTCACATCACTGTAAATTGTTGATATTCTCACTAAACAATTTCTAAAGTCACACAGCCACCCCACTTAAGATGTTATATTCATACTAATAGATTCTATACAATAACATCAATACATCCCCTATAAATGAACACTACAGACGATATCACACCAATGTATATTCTAAATTTGCACCACTGTAAATGTCATACAATCTTACCATTAATAGGCTGTATACTGTACATTTTATAGTTTAACACCAATATGTATTCTATACTATCTTACCATAAAACCGTCTACATTCAAACCACTGTAGATTTAACAAAGTAACACCACTGTCATCTATACAACCACACCATTCTAACCTTATTACACGAGTATCCACCACCATTCATTTCCCCCACTTCGACACATGGCCACGCCGCGGCCTAGCTCCACGACAAGAGCCTACGGTCTGTCCTAGCGCGTCCCGCGGACGGCCTCGCACCTTTGCAGGCGCTGATCATGAAGTAGCCGTAAGGGGTGATGGTACTGAACGCCAGGTCCACGACCGGCCTCGTGTGGCCGCTGCAGGTCAAGGGAGTCTGTCTCAGGGCCATGGCGAGAGAGATTTTGGCACCGCTAACGTCCTTACAACTTAAAAGATGACAACTATAAGAGAACAAATGCTCGGGCGACGTTAACGCCAATATGACCCGAGACTGACGGACGGGGCAGAAGAATCGATTCGGCTTGGAAGCAAATCGATTAAAATTTGATCGATTCCACGTGTAAGACAAGAGAAAGACGAATCGATTCCTCCATTTTCCCTTTGGAAGGGGAATCGAACCGATCTGGATTCAACGGTTCTGATCGTCGATTTCTTGTACAATGTAACCCGAATTTAATCAACGAGTCGACCGTGATGATGGGGTTTACGTTACTTTTTTTTCCCCCACACTAAAACAAACGTCAAGTGGTGCGTCTCATAATCCGATAAGCGAGTATCAATTATCAAATCGGATGTGTATAATCAAAATCCGATGAGCCGTAAAGCGCTTTGTCAGAGATGTCCAACGAGTTTACGTTCTTGTCACCGCCGCAAAATTTCGGGGTTCGTCTTTTATTATGGAGACTACCGTAATTGAGCGAGGGGGGACTATTGGACTTATATTGATGAGAAATTGCTGTGGTCTAACATTGAGTAATTTTAACACGTAGGCTTTCGCCTGATGATGCTGGAAGTATTTACCAGCGAAACGTCGTACTCAAACTGTAAATGTGGATTAGCTCTTCAGCACACCGGTGGGCTGAAGTGGTGAATTATTTGTCTTTTGTCAACGTGACACTTTTTTTGCTGATTGGCCGTGTCGGGTGGTGGAGGGTTACGACACATTTATAAATAAACGCGATCTAACCCAAAAACCTTTATTATGAATTGAGTAATTTGTCTGAAGCAACTTTTATTTACTGGAATATATTTTAATAAATAATTTAGCTTATCCTCTTTTCGAATTTATTTCTGAAACGCGATTGCGCTAATTGTTTTATTCTTCTAAATTTGGTGCCCCAGGTAACTAATCTGACCTCTTGAGTTCTCACTTTTGGGCTAAATAAAATGAACTTAAAACTTAAGTTACTGTACTGCAATCGATCCACGGCGCAAGGGAATCGTGTTGTCAGTAATCGATTATACGATTTCCCCCCCCCCAAAATTGCCCAGGGGCGGAAGTTAGTCGCGGTCACGTGATGCGGTTGCTGCCACGAGGAACTCTGGGAAGAGCAACATGGCCGCGAGGGGTGAGCAGCTTCTCCGTCGCCATGGCAACGCGGCGCTGTCTCGATTATAATTAATAACGCGACAATGTTAGAACATTTCATATTTATTCCTGCCGCAGCAGTCCGCCTGCTGTTTTTTTCCACCCGAAGACGATTGCTTGTGTTGCGATCCAAACGTTGTGAATTCTTATTATTTTTAAATAATTTTTTTTATTTTTTCTATCTACGTGACTTTACCGAAAGACCCAAAGAGAATGTTAGAAAATATTAAACGTTTTGTTATGAATCAATCGAGTTAGCCAAACGAGTAAGAACTTGATGGCGTAGTTAAGCTGTCTGAATTCAATGCATGGTTGCCTCTAAAGCAGTTTTTGTGTGCCTTGTGTTACTGTGTATGGCCTCTCGATTAAGACTTGTGGTTCTGGGATGTATAGCGTAATTTGGGATTTATAACTGAATCTGGGATTTATAACTGAATGTGGGATTTATTACTGAATCTGGGATTTATAACTGAATCTGGGATTTATAACTGAAACTGGGATTTATAGCTGAATCTGGGATTTACGACTGAATCTGGAACCTTCATTTGAAGCTTTCGTGACTGCAGGAATCCATACTCTTTGGTTCTTTCGGTAAAGTCACGTAGGGTTCAAATAAAATAAATCACGACGTTTCGGGCGCAACACAAGCGTCCGTCATGCTGCTGAGGCAGACTGTTTTAAAAGGTTTGAAATGGGTTAATGTTGGGGTGCTAGGTGGCTTAATAACATTTCAGGATTGTGAGAGGTAGCGGCGGCTTAGGGAGGGCCTTCATCCAGCAGTGGATTTACCACGGCTGCCGATGATGAAACTGTTACTAAATGTAATGAACGTGTTCAAAAGTATGAACTGTTAAAAGAAAGATTGAAACTTAAGACGATGCATCTGTGCGGTCAGTACACTCAGCAGTGGATTGATCATGGCTGATAATGCTCCTCTAATGGGGGCTAGGCGATACTCATCTCGATAAAATCATTCGTCGGTGATGGGAATTCCACGGTATTATGGCAGGGGCGGGTATACCCATACTAATAACCGTTCACTTGAACCAACAATGGTTGATAGTCCTTGTTTGGTTGTCAGTGACGAAACGCTAAAACATTTAAACTCGTCTGTCCACTGCGTGGCGCAGTCTGTCCGCTGGTGATTAAAATTGTGGCGGTGATGGTGTGCTCAGTTTACAGTAAGCAGGATGTTTTGTCCCTAATGTTGTGATCATGAGCCCAATGTCTCGCAGACTTATCTGTATTTGCTCTATTAACTGTCCAATATCGATTTAAAGCTTTCGTGACTGCAAGGATTCATCTTCTTTGGTTCTTTCGGTAAAGTCACGTAGAATGAGAATAAAATAATAAAATAAAACAATAAAATTCTCACGACGTTTCGGCCACAACACAAGTAGCCTTCAGGTGAAGGAACACAACTGTCGGGACGACAGAGCTTTAATGAATGCTGCTAAGATTCGTAGCGTCTTTTAAGCTGGTTGAGAGAAGTGAGGCACCTTGACAAAGGGGTTTACATATCAAACAGGAGAATTTATCATTGAAATAGCAGAGGGATTAGCTTGTGACTGGTCACAAATAGCTATGTTAAAGTCAAAGACTGTTTGCAAATATCTCATTCCTTTGCTTTAATAACTATGGATATGGTGAATGTCTAACCAATAACATAAATTGGTATGAAGACTGCTCGCAAATATCTGATTTCTTTGCTTTAATAGCTATGGATATGGTGAATGAGTAACCAATACAATTTCGTCTTTTTCTTTCAGGGAGAGTGAATATGATCGTATCCTTTGATGTCAGATGATGAGCACGCTAAACACAATATACACGTGACAGTGATTAGAAATTTTAAGAATATTCTACAGTAAAATATAAAATGTTGCAAATTAATTATATATGAATGTTGTGTCTAATAAGATCCTATTTAGTACTCGTAATTTGTTGCGATATATTTTCTATTAATACGTTGGTTCCTTTTTTTAAAGAAATACAAGCGATTGCATGTAAAGTAATGACAAGAGGGCAGTTATTTTCTCAAGGCATCATTGAGTATTTTACTGTTATATGGCAGTGTTAATGATTAACGTGGTGATTTTTTTTCAGAATTTGTAACGTTAGTTCTAACTTCCGATTGGGCCTGTGACTTTGTTTTCTTTTAATATGAATTGTATATTTCCTTAATTGAAACACTCCAGCTTTCTTCAGTACCCTTGCAATTTTTACTCTTTTTGAATGGCTGGTATCTTGGCTTTTTTTTCATCGCAGAGGCATTGATTTTTATTTACAAAGGTAAGGCTTGTCACTTTTCTTCATATAATTTATAACATAGAATAATATATATTGCATCAAATCGTCAATGTAGTTTTTCCTTGGAGCTGTGTATAAGATGTGTTTATGAGTACACCATACTGTACTTTGATTTTACGTGGCCAATGAGTAACTATTCAAGATTCAGTTCAAATTGAACGAGCCGTTCATTTGATTTGAGAGTTGGTGTATTGCACCTACACCGCCTTTAAAATTATATTTCGGGCAGTGTGAAGTTCTATGATCCATGGTTTTTTTATTTGCACTTACAAACAGGAGACTCTTATGTTTCCACTTGTGCATTAGGTATCTGCATTGTCTGGTTTTGGAGAATCTGGTTAAGCATTGCCTATTGTTTCCATGGAAGATGAAAGCCAGGCAGTGTGGTGGTGAGGTCACTAATCAGGTGTTTGCTGGGCATGTTGCTTGAATCCCATTAATTGACATTTTCCGTTTTGATGCCTACATTCTCATCGGTGTATGTACTCTATATGAGTATGTATGTAGGTATGGAGAGTAGTAACATTTAGTGTACTATGCTGTGAAACTGGCAACCTGAGGTCTGTTTCGAGTTGCAAGAACCGGAGTCTAGTCATGTGCTGTCATCTGCAGGTCAAGTGCTGCCCTACCCCTCTTCCAACCTGGCGCTCGACATCATCCTGCTCTTTGTGCTCACACTTATCGAGATTTTCCGCATCTTCTTCTGTGAGCAAATCCTTCCCTTTAAACCCTCCCTTTGAGCTCAGCAGGCTAATGTTACAACATAATAATATACCTTAAGTGGCGTATTTGTGTTACATATACATATAAAATGTTGGTATAAACATTATATAGTTCTTGCACATAATGTGCACGTACAGCCCTTTCAATTCCATTGCTAGATGAGGGCCTCCCCAGGCTGTGCGTGTCATTGGGATTATCTGACCGTACTTAATGCTGGTCAGTACGAGTTGGTTAAGGTGGGCTGCCTCGTAGACATGGGGGCGTGCGAGCGCAGCAACAACATCGTATTGGCGAACGAAACGCGTTTGTCTTGTATGTCGTACCTGGTAGGCAGCAAGGGGAACTTGACGGAGCGGAAGGTTCCTCTGAGCGTGGGCGTGGGGCTCACAGTGCCGGCCGTGGTGCTCTCCGTCTACCTGCTGCTGTTGCAGACGTACGTTCTGCGCGTCGAGGTCATCATCAACGGAATCCTCCTCGCGCTGCACGGTGCAGAGCTCATCCTGAGCATCGTCGCCATCGGCACATTTGCAAGGTTGGGTCCCGTGCGGAGTCGATACTCGCTAGCCGGGAGACGTTAGCTACCTCGCTTGGTATACAGGAGGATGTGGGTTCCATCCCCACCCTGACACCTGTATATTTCTCCCTGCGTAGATTTTTTTCTCCATTTAGAGTATTTGGCTATTATCAATTGCTACATGATAAGCTACTTCAGTCAGCTATCATTTGTGGCCATGTCACTTCTGAAAAAAAGCTAGAGAGCTCAGTGGGCCTTACCTGGTAAAAACAAGCTTATACTGGTTTTTAAATTGTGGAGTACGAGGAAGGGAGTTCACCCAGAGGGCTCGGGGTTCAGCATAGAGCTGGGATGTCCAATTAATAAGGTAATCAATTACTCGATTGTCGGTTCAATTACTTGACTTATTATATGACATAAAATAATTTGGGACAAAAGTCTGTTCCCACGTGCACTGTTAGATATGATGTGGTGGGCAGGGCTTCAAGGGGTTTTCCTGCCAGTGCACGGGTGTCATTTGGCCTGAGTAATTTCCACAATAAGGTAGTTGATCGCAATTTTTAGTTGCTTAATCAACCAATTGTGCCGGCTCTAGTTCAGAACGCTAAATTAGCACCGCTAAGGTCCCGGAGTCAACGTTTCAGCCAACTATGATTAAATTGCATTGTCAAGTCTCGTGAGTTGATGGTCTCATCCTGGTAACAAATTAATGTATGAAAAACGAATATGTAATGTATAATTATTAACGCCATTTATGAGACTGATATGGTCTTGTACATTTTCATATATCAGTGCAATACTGGAGTGTAGTATTACTGTCGTGTCACTTTGAGTGATTTTATTCATTGGTGGACTTTCAGACTTGTTTTAGATAACCCAGCACACACAACCTGTGTGTGTATCCTTAAGATATGAGCTGTTTGAGTCAAGGAACATCAAACCCTAAAAACAGATTAGTCAGTGGCAACTGTGAGAACGTTTGTGAGCTTTTCACATGGTGCTCTTGCCACTGCAAAGGGTCTTTCTTTCTATTCAGTGGGTAGAGGTACCCACTGAAATCAGTCGATTAAGTATGTAATGCATAACATATGTATGTTTAAATTTCAAGTCAAAAATAGGTTCCTTGCTAAGCGGCATGCCGCAAGTTACTCCTTCGACAATTCTGGCTTAAAATTCCAATTGAGAAACAATAATTTTTGGTGTGCTTTAAGTCTATTCCACTGGAAATATTGCCTTGAACCTGTAGGTTTTCAAGAATAAATCGCATACAGTATGCATTAACTAGAAACACATTATCTGTACATACACAATTGCATAAACTAAAAAAATGTTGATCTTTATACACGCATAAGTATGTATTGCATTGTCTAATACAATTGTCTTGCAAACATGAGAGTTGGTTATAATCAGTTAATTGGTACATGCTTGGTGTTTTTTTCTAGTCGGATGATTTAAAATGGACTGATACCTGAGTTAAAGCTGGACATATTTTAAGTAAATTCATTTAGGAGCAAGTTTTTTTTGCTGATGCTCTTAACTGCAACTTTTTTTATTTCACTTTATACTCATATCTTATTTAATTGTGTTTATTTTTATTTTTCTACAACAGGGCCAACACACTCGGCTGAATGGAAGAAAACAAAAATCCTGCATCCCAGCCATTCTGACAATTGGAGGCGTCTACTGTGTCGACTGTAAATCTGTTAAATAGGGGTGATCTTGAGCTGTGTACATATTATTCAGTGTTTCAGAGATTCAATGATTGAAGTTATTTTTTCATCTTTTCTATTCATATGGTGTTTTCCACGGTGGTGTGCATTTGCATTGAGTAAACGTGCCATCTCCACTTGTAATAATAAAGAGCACATGTCTATTTAACAATTGTCAGATTGATTCCACTATTACATAGCTGTGTTATATAAAAAAAAAATGAAACCGAACATGCATATGGTTTTATACCTATTTGTTAATATTACACGTGTTAATGTTTACAGGAAGCTAATTGTACTCTGGACATTGTCCAAAATAAATTGGTTACAGTAGTCATGTTTATTTTCCATGCACGTCCAAGTTTACAATTCTGGATAAATATATTAAACATGCCAATTTATATCGCAAAATAGCAGTTAAAGGGTGTGTTATAACGCACATAGGAAATTACAATCCATAATCTCATGAGCCACCCAGATTAATCCCAGTTTTGTTTGTTTAATCAGTCCAAAGTTGAACTGGTGACAGTCCATGGCTTCTCCATATGTAACATCAGGGCATCCATTGGCACCGATTTGTCAGGCCACCTACAGTATCGCCGTTGATATTGCATTGAAGATCGTCCAAGGTTAGGCGTCTAAACAAATGCCGTTGGGGAAACTATCTCGGAAAATCCCAGTGTGGGGTTCAAGGTGTCATACTGAAGAATATAAACTCTGCCCTTTGCAGGGTATTAAAAAACACTGAAATCTCCCAGACCAGAGTGTATAGCTATGCATAGCTTCAAAGAAGCAGTATCATTAAAATAGTGGAGTTTGATACGAATTTAATACTAAAAAATATAAACCTGAATCATGGAAGAGGCCCCATTCTATAAAAAATGACGATAAAACTGATCATAAGAATTAAATCCATTACTCGGCTATCGCACATATATATAGATTGTTCACGAACATCAAATAGAACGTAATAATGGACAATTTAGATACCAACCACATGAGCAGGCGGGACTTTTAAATATATGACCTGGTTTGGTAGACTAATTGTGTAGTCGACTCGGTGAAAACAGATGTCGTCATCTGATCTTTCACAAGTATTAGACATTGTCTAAACCCTTGATGATTATGGGACAGCTACACAGATTTCCAGAAGAAAAAATATAAATGAGGCAAGGAGTCGGGCACGGAGATGCACTTTCGCGATGACTATTCACGGTGACGAAAGATGCTTTCTGAAAATTCAAATTGACTAAGGTTAGTGATGGAATGGCAGTCGAAGGAGTGAACGCGCCATAAAGCAATGTGTAGATTTGTCGAACTTCTGCACCGCACGTAGCCAACCATGCTAATCGGAGGTGCGGGGGAAGGACAAGAACGCCTGTGGTCCATAAGACTGGGAAGTGATCCATAGAACTGTTGCAGATACTGAGAGCAGTTTTGCATTTGGAAAAATATTCTATTGGTGCATTGTTTTGAGCGTCGACTTTGGTCGACGGATCCAGGAAAGATTTGGAATCGCTGCCTTCGAGGATGGTCGCTGTGGAGATAGTCATGAGATCAGCAAGATGGATTGTTGCATCGCAAAACCGGAAAGGATGGTCTTCAAGCAGTGGATTGACCATGACTGACGATGACACTGGATGTAATAAACTAACCAACATTTAAAGTTATTTCAATAATTTGATGATGCATTTAGATCGTAACATTACCTTAACCTCCGTCTTTATTGTAGGGTTTACCAGAATTCAGGTTTCGTGACCCACCACCCGCCGTCTTTCCACTTTACCAACTTCTCCAATTCCAATACAAACTAACGCGTTCCTCGCTGCACGCGTCCGATGATTGTTAAGCACGTCCCGCGTGTCGCACTACGCAATTAACGCTGCACGCGTGAATAGAGCTGATGCAAATGAAGCTCGAGATCTCAGTGTGCGTGTGTGTACACTTGTTACACACGCGTGTGTGGGCACGTGTTCCAGGTGAAGCAGACGGCGTTAATTGCTTAGCGCGTCACGTGGGACGTGTTTAACAATCATCGGGCGCGTGCAGCGTGGAATGAGTTCCTGTTATTTGAATGGTGGAGTAAATTGATAAACGCGAAGAGACGTAGCGTGGTGAGTTCCGAGGACTGAAGTTTTAGAAAACCCTGCCTCGTTGATTTGCTTGAATATTGTATGATCAATAAACCAATGATATTCGGTTTTTTTTACAGTATTCTATTCATAATAGCGAAGCTGTCAACAGACGCGGCAGTTTTCACCACCGCGTGCACCCCGCGTGGCTTTCTGACTGACACTCGATGTCGTGTCGGTCTCCCGTTGGCTTTTGTTTGCGAGTACAGTAGTACTCTATGTACTCGCCTTTCGGCATGCCATTTCTTAATCCTCATCCCAGAAAGGGGTACAAAGTTCCACAGCGCCCACCCGCTGTACCCGCTATCGGAGGCGTCGAGTTCAGCACGGAGCCTACCTCGCATCGACAACCCGGGCACCCTCTTGCCCTGCACGGGCGAGCACAGGCCCCATGCTGACAGCAGCGTCATTCAGAATCGGAAATATGTACGGACACGGGGGGGGGGGGGAATCCGATGAGCTATGAAGCTCTTTTTTTCACCGATGTCCAGTCGGGGAGGGTAAGAACGTTACAACAACAAGCGGTACAAAACGCACGATAGGAGTGCAAAGTGCAACAAAGGCAGACACATCACTCAAAAACATGCAAATTAAACTAAACCATCCCCAGCCTACCAGGCTGGGGATGGTTTAGGGGGGGGGGCCTTGTCCCCCCCCCCCCCCCCGTGGTCAGAACTAGAAGTCGGGCCCCCTTGACAACCACCATGATAAATCTTTTCAACAACAACAGTGTAAAATAACTACAACTTGTTTATAACGCGGTTAAATACAAAAAAATATATATGAAACGGCTTTCATTTACTTTCCACGTTTATTTCTTATTGATAGCAGTACTGTAATAATACAAAGAGCTACTGCGGAGCTGTAGTGGCTGCATTTTGTGAATACGGAGCGCCCCAACAGCGTTAAGTGTTCGAGACCGTGAGCGCAACGACGATGTGATTAGGTAAGAGGAGCCGCGATATGGAATAGCATCGAGGTACGGACCGTGCGAGACATCAAATATTGGGGCCCTCACCTGCCAGATTGCCACTCCCCCTGAGCTGATAATGTAGTTACTACACCACTGATTATGTAGTTACTACACCACTGATAATGTAGTTACTACACTGATGATGTAGTTACTACACCACTGATGATGTAGTTACTACACCACTGATGATGTAGTTACTACACCACTGATAATGAGTCACTACACCACTGATAATGTAGTTACTACACCACTGATAATGTAGTTACTACACCACTGGTAATGTAGTTACTACACCACTGATAATGTAGTTACTGCGCCACTGATAATGTAGTTACTACACCACTGTTGATGTAGTTACTACGTCACTGATAATGTAGTTACTACACCACTGATAATGTAGTTACTACGCCACTGATAATGTAGTCACTACACCACTGATAATGTAGTTACTACACCACTGATAATGTGGTTACTACACCACTGATAATGTAGTTACTACACCACTGATAATGTAGTTACTACACCACTGGTAATGTAGTTACTACACCACTGATAATGTAGTTACTACACCACTGATGATGTAGTTACTACACCACTGATAATGTAGTTACTACACCACTGGTAATGTAGTTACTACACCACTGATGATGCCGTTACTACACCACTGATAATGTGGTTACTACGACACTGATGATGTAGTTACTACACCACTGATAATGTAGTTACTACACCACTGATAATGTAGTTACTACGCCACTGATGATGTAGTTACTACACCACTGATAATGTAGTTACTACACCACTGATAATGTAGTTACTGCGCCACTGATAATGTAGTTACTACACCACTGATGATGTGGTTACTACGTCACTGATAATGTAGTTACTACACCACTGATAATGTAGTTACTACGACACTGATAATGTAGTTACTACACCACTGATAATGTAGTTACTACGACACTGATAATGTAGTTACTACACCACTGATAATGTAGTTACTACGTCACTGATAATGTAGTTAATACACCACTGATAATGTAGTTACTACACCACTGATAATGTGGTTACTACGACACTGATAATGTAGTTACTACACCACTGATAATGTGGTTACTACGACACTGATGATGTAGTTACTACACCACTGATAATGTAGTTACTACACCACTGATAATGTAGTTACTACACCACTGATAATGTAGTTACTACACCACTGATGATGTAGTTACTACACCACTGATAATGTAGTCACTACGCCACTGATAATGTAGTTACTACGCCACTGATAATGTAGTTACTACACCACTGATAATGTAGTTACTACGCCACTGATAATGTAGTTACTACACCACTGATAATGTAGTTACTACACAACTGATAATGTGGTTACTACACCACTGATAATGTGGTTACTACGACACTGATAATGTAGTTACTACACCACTGATAATGTGGTTACTACGACACTGATGATGTAGTTACTACACCACTGATAATGTAGTTACTACGACACTGATAATGTAGTTACTACACCACTGATAATGTAGTTACTACACCACTGATGATGTAGTTACTACACCACTGATAATGTAGTCACTACGCCACTGATAATGTAGTTACTACACCACTGATAATGTAGTTACTACAACACTGATAATGTAGTTACTACACCACTGATAATGTAGTTACTACACCAATGATGACGCGGAGAATTAAGTTAGTGAATTATATTTACTTTTTATTTTATTTTGCGTCATTCGTTAATAATATCGCAACCATACAATCGGAGATATGCTATCGTGTTTGATTACTCTCCAGTTCACATTGAAGCGGCCAAGCATCTGTTGGCGGAAAAAAATAGCAGTTGACAACATACAACCTGGACTTACCCTTCATGATAGAACCATCAGTGGTCTAATACCTTAAACAACCACATTAATTTTGATTTAAATAATTTAATTGTTTTATATATATTATTATTTTATTGTTTCCCTTCAACGTGACTTTACCGAAAGAACCAAGAAAATGAACCACATTAATCTTGATTCACTGCTGCAAATG